TCAGATCATTTTTTTACACAGCCAATCAGTGATTGTACTCTCCAGTACTAAAACAACTGATCATTTTCTCATTTATTCAATGCATCCAAACTAAGAAGTCTTTTCTTTGGTCTTTAAATGTAAATCTTTAAATAACAGAAGTATTTCACATTGTTTGGAGAAACCCAATCACTTCCCCACCTGTTATTTTACACAAACGCATGTAAAAAAACAAAGTGGGGATCTGAACATTTGATATCAACATCTGATATTGATACTGTCGTGATGGCCAATATGTTATACATATTTTTCTACTCTTTCGACGTGTAAAAGCAACCGTACTGCCGAGGTTGATTCTGTTTCAGCTAAGCGTGCCACAAACCTGTGCAGCTTCGCCCTCACATGACCAAACAAATATCACAAAGCCAACCCTCCCTGTAGAGGATCTCATCAGACTACCAAACAAAACAAACTTCACATAAACGCTTGCAAGTTGCTCTGACAACAACAATCTGTAATGTTCTTTTGAGCTAGATTGGAAAACATTGGCAGCCTTTAAGAGTTCAAGTAAGGAGGAATAGACTCAGACTGCTGTTTGCGAGCCACAGCAGTCACTCAGATACTGTGGCTGAGATAGAATTCAAAAGTCTAATTTGTCTTTGCTTGAACGTACGAGCAAAACCTTGTTTTGAAACGTCTCTCTTGTAGACATTGCCACATCACCTCTAATCCCCTAATAAACATAATGTAACGTAATTATTAGAGCTTAATAAACACGATCTTTTTATTAAATACTTCAGGGTTCTGCAGCCTTTACAATCGAAAGAACCATTTTTTACATTCAGTCCACAAAAGTAAAAGATTTAGAGCCACAGTTATTGCCTGACCTTTTGAATTTATGGTCAATTTATATACAAAACATCTATTATTTTTAAAGAGCAACAATTTTGAATAAAATGAAAAACAAAGAATATGGCTACACTTAAGATGCTGATGTTTGGACAAGAAAAATACATGCACATAAAAAGAAGACTGGCACTTTGTCATTCTGTTGTGAAAATTAAGTGTAATTATTTGATGCAACCCCCCTATTTCCAAAGTTCAGACATTGGCTTATAATTGTAGTCAGTTTTTAAGAGCCGTTGTGGACGCGCCAAAGAGCCACTCGGCAGGTTGCAGACCTGTCTGGAGAACTTAAAGAGAAACTATATAATTACGCTGCTTTAAAAACTGTAATACTGCTTCAGGAGTCAGGAGCCCAGAGGCTGGTCCAGAGCCCGGGATGATCAGCGGGATCTACCTCTCTCTGAGTGTGGGGTGGCTGCATTGCCAGCTGGGTGGATCCACGTTGTTGTTGTTGATGTTCTGCTGGCTGGTCGGAGTGCTGGCCGCGCTGCCGCCGCTCAGGCCGCCGGTGTTTCCGTTGCCGCCGCTGTTCGCCAGGCACGCCGCCTCCTTCGCCTTCTCCGCGTCCGCCACCGTGGTGCCGGTGGCCAAGTTGGTGCTGTTGAGACCGGCGGCAGAGAACAGCTCCGCAGCCATCTTCGTCGTCTTCTCCTCCTTCTTCTTGGTGCTCGACAGGGATAAAGTCAGGACCTCATAACATGCCGGCAGCCTCCCCGGGAGCTTCTTTGACTTTTTCAGTGTTTCTGGAAGCAGGAGCAGATAAGTCAAACACCTCATGATCCGGCCATGATGGAACAAGCTGCAGTCTGCCGTTGGCATCGGCACGAGCGGCGGATCTCCGTGTCGGTGCCCGGTGATATGGCTCGGTTTTCCGGGACGTGCTGTACCAGTATGTCCTGCGTGGAGAATTTAGGGAATTTTTGGATGCATTTAAAACGTAATCTAGGAATATAAACATCCGTCCAGGTCCGGACTAATGTTCCTCATCCGCTTCCATATGAACACTTTGGCTCCTGTTTCTGGTGTTCAGCTCATCCTCACTTCCCTGGAAATTGCCCCCATTTGTTTTCCCTTTTCCAACGAGAGTAATCCGGACAGTCCTGCTTATTTCCCCGCCTTTCCTTGTCAGTAATCCTCACGGATTGTCCTCCGTGTTTTTCCGCGCAGCCGAGCCCCCAGCCTGCCGGGACGTCACGCCACATCCACAGCCATCCCAAATAAACGGGTGTTAGTCGTGAGTTTTGGGGCTCTGCTCTATTTTTACTGCGTTTTTTTCCCTCCGTCCCGATCTCCTCTGACGCCCAAGGCTCGATGAGAACCAATCACATCAAGGCATGGCGCTAACGTAAGAACTGCAGAAGTCCCGCCCTCTGCTTCCTCCGCAGACTGCGTCACTGGTGGCGGGCGGGGTGGGGAAGGTTCGGGGAGGGTTCGGGGGCGGTTGGGTTCTCATCCGGCGCCTCAGAGAGCCGAAGGACCAGGGGCGGAGGAAGATGCAGCGCCCCCCGGGGCGCACAAACATCCTCCAAGCCCAACCAGAATTAGATTGTTTGCACTAGTCGTTTCTTTCAGTGGTGGTTTCAGACCAGACTTGGGTGAGAGGGGAGGGGAAGGGTGGGCTCATTTTTTTCACAGGTGCACAGAACAAAAGAATGGAAAATTAAAAAAACTATTTTTTTCCCCAAATAACATTTTAATCCTACATCCCCTAATATTTTTACTTCCCTTTTTTAAAAATAGTTCATAGTTTTGTTTCTGTCTTCATTTATTGTACTCTAAACCTTTTGTTTTGTTAAAAAAAAGGTGAATTAACTGACCACTTGGCATTTTCACAGGCCTGCCCTGTATGCTAACAGATGTACTAGCAAAACATAATTAATTAATAATAAAAAGTAAAAACAAGAAATAATTCAACAACTTTAGAATGGGTAAAAACAGAATGGGAAATATTCCCTTTCTTTATTAAATGTGTTGACTCCAAAAATGCAGATTTGAGCTGGTGGGAAATTAACTGAACGAACCTCCAACCAACAAACCGGTTATCATGAACTAGTCACAAATCAGGTCCAGGAAACCACCTTCAACAATCACATACCCCCATCCATCCCAGTAGCACCCCCACCATGGACCCCCATGGGGTGCACCATGGATTGCAGTTTTAAAGATTTTTAGTTTTAAATTAATGTTGTCTTGACTACATTGCAAGTTTTGAATTTGATGGAAAGGAGCAATTCAAGTTCTCTTAGAGGGATTAAGATAATGTCTGGGTAAAATTTGATCCTGAGGAAGGAATTGTGCATTAGGGTAAGCTGGTGTCTTTTTTTTCTCTGCCTGGTTTTTAAGTTAGACTTTCCAGTAAAACTTGGGAAAAAAAGCAGAAAAAAAGAACAGTGGTGCAGACGTAGCATTATTACTTGATGACGGGGAGGAGGAACGAATCAGCCTCAATCTTATTACCAGCTGACTAACACAGCTTTCCACTGCACTCCTCTGTGAGAAAAGACGTTAAATTCAAACATATTTATGTCCGCTGTCATAGCTCAGCGAGATAAACTACTACTTCTGGCCAGAGAAAAAAAAGACTGCTTCTCATTTTAGTTTCTCATTAAAATTGGGATTGCTGCATAACTTTCACAGGCAGGAGGTAAAAAGAGTCCACAAGCAAATTAACCAGCAGCCATGCTATTGGTTGTAAAAGTAGAAAGCTAAGATTTTTTATTAATCTTATATTTTGCTACTTTGACATGGCACAGTTAAAGATAACTTTACCCAGAGCAGCTGTTCTCAAAGTAGAGTGAAAAAATTCCCTTGAGATTTCTTCTGCTGTTATTGCATCACACTTGCATAGTTCAGATATTTGTAACTCAATGTTTCAGCTGTTTTTTAGTTTTCTGGAAGTTTGTTCCAGATTTGTGGTCCAGAGAAGCTGAACGCTGCTGCTTCATGTTTGGATTCTGGGGATGCAGAGTAGACTACTAATCGTCGAAATTCGAATTTTGAAATAATTGTCAACTAAGTTAGGAATCGATTAATTAACTGGAGTAAACAGACCCTGTGTATATTTTTTCTGAAAGAATATACACAGTGTACTAATTAGTTTATTTGCATCTTTTCGTGTATTTCTAATGCTGTAGGAAAAAGGCTTAAATATGCCACTTTATTTGATTACTCATCAAAATAATTGATTAATCAATAATAATTAGTTGTAGCCCTTATCCTCTACATACATCCTGTTGTTGTTCAGGAGAACACCTACATCTATTGCCTCTTCCACCATCTCCACTTCTCCCTTGATGGAAGTAATGTTGTACATATTCCTATTTTCACCCAAAACAGCGTTTTCCTGATTCTAAGGGCTTGATGTGGCTAGTGGAAATGAACTCAACCCTCCGAAAAGTATTTTAAATTCAGCAGGGCTGTTGTAAACTGTGTTTAGTAATCAACTAATCTATCTCTTCTTCTAACAATTACTCCAGTAATCGAATAAAATATTGGTAAACTTGTATCGATAATTGCTCACAAAAACCTGAAATTCTATTCAATCCGCTTTGTTCCGTCTACCTGCATGCATCTCTGCTCCAAATGTGTGCGTATACCCACTTCACCGGCGTTTGCTCTGGGCTGCCCACTAGGCAGGAGTTTATGGAGGACATCCAATATAGAAAGGCCATGTTATCACAGTAGTCTGTTTACGACAAAACCCATTTCATTGATTGATTTTTATCAATCAATAAAATCCCAATGGACACCCCAGAAAGAACGTGAAAGTGAACTTGTCGGGGAAAAGAGGATATTTGGTTAGCCTATGTTATGCTAATAGCACTTATGAGTCGTAAACAACTCATTGACATAAGTGAGTGCACTAAACAGTAAATGTAACAATGTCTCCAGACAAATTTCTCTAATTTTTGTAGAGGAAATTTAATAATGGAGACTCTCCAATAATTCACTGAATTGCTGCAACCCTAAAATTAATTTGAATCAAAATATGTCAAGAGTGGCAAACTGTCTTTTTTGTGTGCAAATACTGCAGAAGTATTTATGAGGGTATTAGAATCTTTCAACGTCCCAATTGAGAAAAAGAACATTTGATTTTTTTTCTTTTTCCTTCCCAGACCCATGTCTTTATATACCCCGTTTCACCCAAATGCTGGAATTTGGCGAGAAGAGCCGCGAGGTCTCCATGACGGCACTGCGACTGGTTCAGCGGATGAAAAGGGACTGGATGCACACGGGAAGGCGGCCATCTGGACTCTGTGGAGCAGGTAACCAGAACATGAGGCAGCAATAGAGAAGCACACTCTCTGCTGTGGAAAAGGTTTTGTTTTTTGTATTTTTTTTTCCCCCTCCAGCAGAGTACTTTATGTAGTAGCAGGAGCTGGAACATTTAAGGGAGAAACGTAATTACTGCTCTGCTCTTAGTTCTCCAACAACAAAGTTGTCTTTAATGAGCTGCTTAAGCCACAGGTCACTAGACGGCTTTGCAGAGGCCAGCAGTGTTCCTGATAGAAGAGACTCTCTCACTCCAGCAGAGATTTATTTGTTAGTAATTTTGTTACTGCTGATTTCATCCATTAAACACCTCTTAGTGGCACTGACTGGATCAACACACACAGTTTGTGCCAGCATAAGTTTGAGCAGTGTTTTCCTGAAGTAGCACTTCTGATACTAGGGTTATTATGGTCTGCCTAGGCAATGAAACTAGATTTTTCAGTGTCATTAGTAAATGTATTCATCTCTCTGTCCACCCATCTGTTCTCCCATTCATCCTTTTGTCAACCCTCCATCCACCTTTCTATTCAGCATCCCTCTATTTACTCTATTCATTCATTGGCCATCTATTATTCTGCCATTTTTCATCTTCCATTTGTCCATTTTTCATCAGTTTTTGAATTTCCGCAGGTTCCATATTTGATTGTGAAAATATCAGATGGAATTGTGTTGTAATATTTTGTATTCAACCCTATTTATGGGACTTCCAAGCTTCCACCTCACAGAGCAGTCCCCCACAAACCCACCATCATGACCCAAATCATCTCCTTCAGACTAGCCAGCAGCAATTAGCACCTGGTGGAACTGCACATCTGCTGAGGTCATTATATGAGCTACTTCTCGGTGCAATGCATGTAAAACATTGTTAAAGGGTTAACTGAGGAGCCGTGCTGTGATAACATCCTGAAGGCAGGAGCTTCTTAAGAGACAGAGGCCCAATTTCAAGGAGTAATATAAAGAAGTAAAAGAAATGTAAAATGTTTTTAAAGAGTTAATTTAGATGTAAAGCATTTTACAATAACTGAAGATGACATAACTAAATGGAAAACGTATAATGCTGTGCCTTTAAAGCTTAATGCAGCCTGAGTCTCCTGTCTCCTTTACTGGATGGTTAGCTGTCTGAGATTTAGGGTCCTTCTCTGGAATTTCTTTGTTTTTCAATGACAGTTTTATAACCTTCAAGTGACTCGGGAGGCAGAGTGGAGTCTCCAGGTTGTTTGTCACCATCAGTGGTAAATAATACTGGCTATACGCTGCTGAAACATTGTAACTTACTATAAGAGAAACCTGCCTTCCATTTCTCTTTTTACCTCCCTGGTTATTGAGTGTTCCGGTAAACTGTGCTTTAGTTCCTCCCTTCTTGCTGAGTCAGAGCGACTTTCCACCACCTCCTCTCAGTGGACTCTCTCTACTAATGTCCTCCTTCATCTGACTATGGAAACCTCCTTACCTCAAACTCTCTCCTCTGCATGGTTCTTTCACACAGTGACCGCCCAGTCACCCAGTGGTGGCTGGTGACTAAACCTCTTGGTGGGCTGATGTACCAATAGATTTCCTTTCCCAAGACAAGGATTCAAATGAACAGAATGAAAATGACTAAAATTTCACAATAATATATTTTTCAAACAGCAAAACATGACGAGTTACATTAATTAGTACAAGGTCTGTTTAGTTACTTTGTCAGCAGCTAGTGGAGTTGGACTCAAAACTGAAAAATACCAAACTAATGTAGGATCATCAGGGGCGTCACTAGGTTTTTGGGTCAAGGGGGGCTTAGCCCGCAGAAGATGAACAGGATGTGAGAAAATGTAGCTGATGAATAGAAAATTTTTCAAACAGCAACAAAAATTGATAAGTGAAGATTAATGATTAACTGAATACAGTTTATCATTATTCTTCACTTATCAATTTTTTAGCAAGCATTGCTATGGTAATTATAATTTTCAGGTGGCCCTACACCTGAAATTGTATCCATTGAAGAACATTTGTACAAAGTTTCATGATGCTGTCACCTTCTGACAGATTTATGATTACATTTGAGTAAAAAATATAGTTCATATGTGTGAAGATTTGAGTTTTTCTGTGTGTTTATTGGGTCTATTGAGTCACCAGCATCTTCTGTCTACTCCTTGATTGTTCCCAGCTGTGTGTCGTTCCCTGATTATCCTTGTATTTAATCCCACCTGTGTTCTTTTTTCTCGTCAGGTCCTTGTCGAATTTGTCTTGTCAAGCTGTCTAGTGTGGTCCGCCATCAGTCATTCATTTGTACCAGTTGTTACCAGTAGTGAGCATTAGCCTCCTGCTCATCTGTGCTGCTTGGACTTTTGAACTTTATGTAAATCATCATTTTTCTGCATCCTAACCACAGAGTCTTCCTCACCACCTCTTCACCGAAAATCATGACAATTTGATTATTTATTTAAGCTCATATTCTAGTGACATTACATTAAATTTGTTGGCAGATTTAAAAAAATACAATAAAAAAGTGATGGGAGAAAAACAACCAAATTATTAACCGAGTTTGAGAATATTTTATGGAGGCTTCAGTCCCTCTAAAATAGCCCTATTATCGCTACTGATGATTACCTAGATGTATAACTGAACAGACTACATTCTATTAAAATTGAAGAGAATAAACTGATGACACCAGAAATAACTAAAACACTCTGGAGACGATCACGGCTATGAACTTAAAGTTAATCAAGGAATTGAAAAGACAAGAAGGCTCTCAGCAAAATCACAGAAGTTGTAGCAACATTTATCAGATGAACCTTAGCATAGTGCTAACCAGAGCAACAGAAGCCTCAAATAAACCACAGCTACTTTCATAACTGATGATCATCAAAGAACTGAGACCAGCTGATGAACAGAAAAAGTAAGCAGCGGAAAAGAGCAGATCAATAGAGAAGCTAAAGCTAATGAAACACGCTGAAGAACATGAGTTGTTGCTCACCGGCCACCTGTAAAATCCTCTGCATTGTCATTCAAGGAGGTGAATTCGGTGCAAGCTTTCCCTAGACGACTGTATTCGCCATATGAACTTTATCACCATGGTGACGCAAAACATAATGGCATGTCAAGGGCAACATTCTGAGCACTCAGACATTAAATTAAATGATGCTGATTGGCTAAATGTCTATTATTTTTACCATAGCAACCACATGTGATTAGCTTCATTCAGCCCAGAAGAGAATTGACACGATTCTGTCAGACTGTTGAATTAGACTTATTATTTTATTGAGTGAAAGTCAGTTGGTGGAAATTCTGCCGAAATCACACTTTTAATCATGTTTATAGGTCATTTTTAGATCCCTGATTCCCTCCACATTAGGGAGGGCAACGCCACAGCGCCTCCTATGGACCAACCTCTACGACAGTCGCCACCCTACATTTAATAATCCACCAGCCTACACTATATCTTTGCTGCAGCTCAAATCAGATCTTCTCCTTTCCAGTCCTCTTGGAAACTTGTTGACCAGATCCAGAAAAAAAAATCATAAATCATTGTTTATTTAATAAATCACGTGAACTTTTTTTTTTTTACCATTGCTGATGTGCTCCAGTCACAACAAACCTCAACATTACAACATGTTGAGGTTGTAATGTTGAAGAAACGATACATTAACATTTATGTTAATGTTTCTTGCTCCACTTAGTTCAGTTTATTTTGTTCATTCTTGTGTGTACAGTAATACACTTTAATCATTGAGGCATGGAAAATAATGAACACAGTGAAGTTTAAGTTGAAATGTCGTCAGGAGATATTTTACTGTGGAAACTTGTGTCAGTTTGTATAATGTGTTGTTCCATAATCATGCTTTGAGATCCTTAACCTGACAAACAGTATCAGTCACAAACAGCAGCTCTGGCAGAGTCTCGCACAAGCCAGAAACATTTGCTGGAACTGGACACGAGAGATAAAATGAAGCTTTCTGAAGGCCAATGATTTACTGCTAATTGATTGGTTGCAGGCACAATTAATTGTTAAAGAAATCATGTTTCATTTTTGGTTTCAATTTGCAGATGATCCCTTATTATACTAAATGTCTTGATAGTTGTTTCTCTTGCTGTATATTTAACAATCATGAGGAAGCAGTAGACAAGTAGAAATCTTTAGTATGTGTATTTAGAAATATAACTGCATTGATAGTTTTATATAGCTGTAATAAACAAGATGTAGAGATTTGAAACTAGCACTGACCACATATCCCCCCAAAGATGGAGTGTATCTCTTCCCCTCCAAACTTTAGAATGGACTTAGAAATTTTCTAAGTTCCATGCGTCTTGCGAGGTACAAACCCACCAGTGGACAGGAGCATTCCACCATTCCCATCCCAGCCAAAAGTGCTGGGATGGGAACTTCAAGCCGACAGTCTTCCCTTTTGGGTTGGAGGTCTAGAGTTTGAAATGTTCCAATGTGAAAACTTTTTTTGCGAAATTGAGGAAGTTATTTCAAATTTTTAGAATTTTTTTCATGCAATACTTCAAAATGCGCATAAAAAATCATTGATGGAAACACGGCTAACAATGGCGTGGCTGGAAACTCGAGCCAAGTTCATGATATGTTTTTAGTTGCTGATATTCTGACAGTATTCTAGGAAACCAATTTTACAACTATCTTACACAGGAAAGGCATAAAGCAAAGTCATGCACAAAATGCCTTTACCAGCCGTGGTTTTAGTATTACAGAAAAATATTGCAAACAGTGCAGTCAAAGAAAACTAGTGTTTAACGACTGAGAGGTTTTTTTGGCTCATGATGACAATTGGCTTTAGGTTTTAGCGGTAAGGGTTTTAAAACTGGGCTCAGAGATAAAGTTGGATTTGAAACGGCGTATGATGAGCTGTGCTGGGTTTCAACTGGGAGAGAGAGCACATTTCTACTTACTCACCACAAGATGATTATGTTTATGGTGCCATAACCATCTTCATTTTGTAAATGCGGCACTTATATGGGGTATGTAAATGCAGCTGACATTGTGGCGAATTGGCTCGTTTTAACAAGACATTCTGTCTTTCTGCTAGACAGTCTGGAAACAAACTGCAAACTGGTACAAATTAAGATGGGCGACCTGCCCCTAAAGCATGTTGTGCCCTCCAAAATATCACCTTGAACTCATGTTACAATGTTATAATTAGTATTCAGTGTTTCAAGCTACAATTGTGCATTGTTGACAATTTTATGGCAATTTTTTATTTTTATTTTTTTTATATATCTTTTCCTGCCAAGAAAGTTTACTTTATTTGGAATTTTATTTAAAGGACATATTTTTAAAGAATGTAAAAAATTATCTGACCTCCGAGAATGTTTGCATGACGGTTAGCGTTTTATTTTGTTTCAGTTAGTTGTGAAACAGCATTACAGATGGTATGTTTATGGTTGTTTGAAAATTATGCTAGGTTTTTTTTTTGTTTGTTTGTTTTTGTTTGTTTGTTTTTTGCTGCCAACTGTTTGCAGAGTAGCTGGAACAGAGTAGAACAGAAATACTTTTATTGCCCCACAATGAGGAAATCTGGGTGTAATAGCAGCAAAGTGATGAGGCATGAAGGCATGTTAAGACAAGGTATTAAAAAAACCAACAAAATTGAGAATAATTTGCAAGGGCAAAGTCACAATAAGGTACTGTGGAGTTATCAAAAGCAGCATAGTCTGATCCAAAGAAATGTGCAATGAAGACAATTCTTCTTAAATGTACTAAATGTGCTTGAGAATTTTTCCATTTTTAAAAAGAGCAGCACATGAAAATGTATAGCTTCTCATGCATGAGCTTACAGTGATGCAACACCTATTGTGTTACATGTAAAGGTATTTTCAGTTATTTCTTCTTAGGACATCGCCTCAAAAATCCAAACTAATATCTGAAGTTGTCGAAGGCTTGTCCACTTTTCCAAATGGAGGATAAAAACTTAAAAGGAGAGGGAAATAATAAAACATTGTAACTTTGCTTTACTTTGTTCAGCATTCTTTCTGCTGAAAATCCCGCTGTCCTGCAGTGATGCTTAAAATAGCTAGCCGTAATTCCTTCTCCCTCACTGCAGAGTTCAAATGGGGGTTATTATTACTGCAATGCTGCCAATGCTTGTTGCATTTTCTGATCTGGGTAAAAAGAAAAATCTGACCAAACAATATAAAAGCTGAAAATCATCTCATTCAATACCATTTTCTTGTATTTCTATGTCGTAGCTGTACGTTTTTTGCTGGGTAAACTACAATTTCAGGTTTTTTGTTTTGTTTTATTTTTTTAAAGTCTCTGTTCACACTCAAGTCAAGGAAGACACATATAAAGTTTTAAGCACCTACACTTCAATTACTCCCCTATCTTCTACTTCATTGACTTACAGTAATAGATCCTGTGATGTATAACAAATCACTCAGATTTGGCATTTCAAATATAATTAAGTTTTTCTGCAGATAATTTCAGGAGCATCTAAACCTCTCATTTGGCGAAGTTCCTCCTCTTTTTTTGTGTTGACAGGATTTTTAATCATGTGTAGATAACTACAGTCATTTTGACATCTTTTTCTTATTTATATAGATATATGTCAAGTAGGGAGTCTAGCATTCCCTAATGTTCATAGATTTATATGTAGGCACATTTCTGTGCATGTAGATAGTTTTTACTGTTTTCTTCTGAGCGTCCATGTTTAAGTTGGACTCCATGTAACTCTACATTAGGTGTGCTGAGCTCAGCTGTCTGTCAGTGTAAGACCATCTTTACCTTTGACATGTTAAAATCACAATTTTTCTTTTCTTCCTCCACTCCCTGCAACTTGTGTGATTACACACAAGTTTGAATGTTCTGCCTTTTCTGTTCCTCAGCTGCGCTGCCTCAATAATTAATTGGTTATCATAAATCATTGAGGGAAAAACACTGCAGCTTGAAGAGCAGTAATCTGTTTCTAAAATGTTCAGCAGAAGCATTCCTGTGCTCCTTTTTGTTCACAAATGAGTCCTTAAATCACAAAGTCCATCTCTAATGATGAGTCGTAGGATAACGGCTTGAGAAAAGGAACAGAACACTTGGAAAGGAAAGAAAATGTCTTTACCTGTGTGTGGTTTCTAACTCAAGTCGTCCTTTCACTCCTAAAAGCTGCTAGAAGCGTGCTGCATATGGAAGAACATTGGTGCATACATCTTTTAACAGCCTCTTGAGCGCTGTAAGCCTAATGACAGTTATGTAACTGTTCCCCCTCAAGCCTTGCATGGCCGCGCGTTGCATAATGTTAGTGTTAGTTCTTTTATGCAGCAATGATTTTGTGTGGGGGCTGACTGTTGGTTCAGTGCCATAAGGTGCTTCCTTTCTTGTTAGTACTTTTTAAGGTGTACAAAAAGAAATGCTGCTCTTTGGCTACTGCTGCTCAGTGCCTGCAATATACACTTGCTGGGTACTTTTGTGATAAGATAAAGCATTTCAGTCTTCTTTTTACTATGTTTAATATTATACAGTGCCTTTTTGGAAGTATTCCTTCCCAGTGGTTCTACAGCCATCAACAGAAATACACCACTTAGTCAGAAACAACCAATCAGAGCAAGGGGGAGGGTCTTAGCACTGCTTACACCCTTCCCCTTGGTCTCTGCTACAGCTTCTTCCCAATAGCAGAGCCTGCCATGAATGCTAAGGCTAAAGTTAGCATGGCCGCCAATTATGGCGGATAAGCAGTTTTCCTATAACGGTAAGTTGTTTCTTCTCTGCAGATACGACCTCAGCTGGACAGTTGCAGAACAGCTGAATCCTGAGGAATCAATCCCAATCACAGAATTTCCTGTTGATCTTTAGACACAGCCTCTTTAATAAGCCTCTAGTCAGCACATATACTGTACCATACCTGGCTTTCCCCAACATAATGGTCTAACTTTCAACAGTTTTGTTCTGCATGTTCAAAAAATATATTAAAATGTATTTAACACATTTATTAGATTCAATTTTTTTCATCTTCTTTCCTGATTTCTGTGATGCTCTGCCACATGAAGTTCTGTGGTTGTAAAGTCATGAAATGTAGAGATGATCCATGGGTGTGGATGATGATTGGACCGTACTTTGCACACACTAGTAAACTTTATTTTTTGCCTGTTTTTCCAGCTCTTCTTGTTGCTGCTCGTTTGCACGACTTTTGTCGCACCACCAAAGAAATCGTGAACGTGGTGAAGGTCTGTGAGAGCACGCTGAGGAAAAGGTGAGTCGAGAAGATTTTGATTTGGCTCCTCCTCTTTCTAGAAATCCTCACAGCTTTTCTGATCCCTCCAGGTTTCTCAGCCACCTGTCTTGAACTGCATCAGTATCACCCAGTGAGTGTGTGTAAGGTTTTTAAGATTTTATATTCCCTCTAACAGGCTGACGGAGTTTGAGGACACGCCCACAAGTCAGTTGACCATAGAGGAGTTTATGAGAGTAGATCTGGACGAGGAGTGTGACCCACCGTGTTTTACAGCCGGACTGAGGAAGAACAAAGACCAGCAGGTATCTGTTGGGGTTCCTGGCCTCCAAAAAATTATTCTCTAGATTTGATAACTGTGGAAAAAGAACATGGTGTGGAGAAACGGTTGAATTGCCAGAATATTTTCCGTATTCCATTATTGTCTTGGTCCTCTTTTAACCCCTGATGTCCAAACTTTTTTCCTAATGTTCCTCCTTCTGTCCATCCATTTATCTTCCCTTTCTTTCATGTCCTTCCTCTTCTCCATCTGTTCTTTCTGTCTTTCTGTGTCTTTCCTGCAGTTCTTTATCACATTCCTTTATTCTTTGTCCTTTCTTCCATTTTGTAGGTTTTTTAGGTCTACTTTCCTTTTCTTTCTTGTCAACCACTTCTTCCTTCCATCTTGTCTTGTTCTACCTGCCTTTGTCATCCTTATTTTCTTTCTTTCTTGTGTCCTGATTCTCCTCTCTTCTTTTTCTTGTTCTTCTAGACATGTTTCCTGCTTCTTTTCTTCGTTCCATCATTTCATCTCCTCCTTCTGTTTGCTTCCTTTATTCTGTCCATGTGTCCCATTTCCTTTCTTTCTGTGTTTTGTTTTTGCAATTAATAATTTAAAGCCTGACCTCTGAAAAATGAATAACTTTAGTAACTTTATAGTCAGTTTGTTCTGTTTGTTCATTAAAATAAACATGAGGAACAGAGAACCCAACTTCTTCCATGAAGTTGTGAAGTTACGCTGACTGGTTTCAGCTCATGCTTTCAGAAAAACTCCAAACAGATTTCAAATGAAAAATAAAATATTTGTTACTTTCAGCAAATATAATTGCTGCTCATGTCACACAAATCCTCAACAAAAACTCCACAACTTCCTTCCTGTTCCTGTCTCTTTAAGAAGTTCCTCCACCTCCAGTTTTTGTTTAATAAAATTTGTCCGATACAAAAAGAAGAAAACAAAATAAAGGTGGCAAGTTATTTTTCAGATATGTTTTTGACTCGGTTTTTAACTGTTATGTGAAATGATGTTTTAGATTTAGAAAAGGCTTTCATTGTATAATTTGGTATTTTGTTTCCCCCCCTCTAGCTGAAACTGGAGCTCCAGAAAAAGATGGATGACTTTGAAGGTATGAAAATAATATTGCTCTCAAATTCTGTTCGCTGGCGTTGTTGGTAATCTGTAGCTTTAACTTCTACTAGCACACTTAGTTTATTTTTATATTCTACAGTGCATTTCATACGTATTCATACTGCTTTTATTACATTTGAGGCCAAACTTATCTATCATGTCTTTTCTATTCATTATTGTCCACTACTTTATCTTGGCTTACCACAAATCCCATCAAGCACTCTGAAGTTTGCGGTTGCAAAATCAACCAAACTTCCAAAGAATTCAGTGCGTTTATCCGGCCTGTAGATCTGAAATGTTTTACTGCTTCACTGAATCAGATGAAATCCAGGAGTTCCAGGATGAAATAGATGCAGAGCTGGAGAGCTGCAGACCCAAGCTGAGAGGAGTTTACGCTGCCTACACCAAGGAAGGTGGGTGAAATCACACCAGCATTCAGATATGAAAGTTCATTTGTGCAAAGAAGCCAATTCATTTTTAAAAGTCAGGATTTTGTACTTATTGCTTGTGCTCAAGCAGTTGTTAAAATGGTCAAAATTATCTTTTTTTTTAATACTTAACTCCAGATACATATTTTATAATCAATTGCAGTTTTTTATTGTCTGCACAATTATGTGTTCAAATGTCTCAAGACAAAATCTGGAATTCTTTTTTCAACTACACTCACTTTGAGGATTGTTCTGCTGCATTAGATGTAAATTAATTGGTGTCACAGGTTAATAACGACTCGATTACGTCGTGTCTTCACATTATGTTTTCTCCCCTCAGATATCTTAAGTGATGACGGTAGTTCCTCGTCATCTAAAGAGGAACCGGACGAAGGCAACGAGCTTCACGCCGTGGCAAAGCACTTTGGTAGAGAACTGGAAGAGCTCACCCTGGAGGCTCTCATCAAACTAGAAGGGGGAGAGTTAGAGCAGGAGAACCAGGACGAGAATGTCCCTCAGCGAAAAGGTCCCTCACTGGCTTCCATACTAGGAAGAATGTCCTCCTCGTCCTCTCTGGGCCTCTCAGAGACCTTCAGCCACCCTGTTGGGGACAACGTGGAGAACGGTAAGTTTGTCACTAGAAACTCATCCAGTAATTTTTATGTAGTTTTTCTTATTTCTTGGGATTTTTTTTATTCCATTTTCTTCTATTCTTACAATGTTGCACAGTTATATACACAACAGAATTACCCTAGCTATGGTAATTACGCCTTGAACCCTAATTACTAGAGATCCACTTATCGGAGTCTTTTGGCCAGTTTTTCTTGTGTTTGGAACTACCCATTCCGTTAGCAGCCCACTGTGATTGGCTCTTTAACTCTAATGCCCCAACTGTCTCTCATCCACCCATGAACGAATCGCTCCAAACATTTTTGGTTATACAGTACCTTATACATAACAAAAACATAAAGATACTGATAAACAAGCATCAGAAGGATGATACCCTGGTCTTTGCTATCGATCTTGTAAATTGGATAATTACTGCTTAGCCAATTACCTTTCAGCAAGTCAACACGTTATTTAACCCTAACTACTGTACTGGAGTTACTGTAAGGAGTAACTCCTCTTTTATCAGCCTTGAAGAAAGACACAGTCTAAGGTTGTGCAAAAGTTGTTACTGCGTTTAGGAAAAGTTACATTAGGAATGCATCAAGGAGACAAAACATGTAAGGAGTTTGCAGAACTGTCCAATGCATTTTTAAAGACGGTAAGGAAAGTGGGCAGCCATCATCTTCAAGAGAAAATGTGATCCTGAATTGTTTTGATTGGCGATCCCTTCAAGTTGCAATAGATAACTTTTATAAAAATGTTTTATTACATATTTGCTCTGATAGTTTATGAGACCAATAATCTGTAAAAAAAAGAAAAAGAGGTTCTCCATTTCCTGTCAGTGCTACCATTGCTTTCTGATAAAACACACCGCTCTGTCATAAACAACCAATCAGAGCCAGGAAGATTATCTTAGCGCTGTCAATTATCCTTGTGTACATGCTGCAGTTGTGCTAATGGCAGAGAAACAAGTTACTGTTGCAGAAAAATCATTTATCCACAGTCATCAGTGACCAGCATCCATGACAGGCTATGCTGATGGGAACTAGCTGTAGCCTCACAGAGAGCAAGGCAGAGGGTGTGAGCAACCTATACAGCAGTTGTGACTCCATTGATTAAATATTACTCCGAATTATCGAGGTGCAGAAAAAATTTTATTATATAATGAATCTTATTATATAATCTGGGAATTCTGAGTCAATTCAAAACGTTCAAAAATGTACTTTGCAATGTGTTTAAGTTGTTCTTCTTTGCCGCTTCTATCTCTGAATAAACTGCTTGTCGCCTTATTCGTTATTTGTGGCTAATATTCAAAAGCCAGAGTACAGATTTTTAACAATTCTTTGAGTCTTTACGTTCAGCCAGCTAAATGAACTGGTCATAATTGGTCACCGTTGTCTTAAGGGCAAAATCGGGGCAAAAAATTGTGTTGTGTGATCTGGACTCAAGTAAAAGAATTTGATGTGCAAACCTCTTTTTGTTTAAATATAAACTTTTGGCATTTGAAACAGCACGGATCCTTATAGAATTGTTTTAGAGGAATGTTCTATTTGTTTCGACTCTTTTCCTCTTGTCAGTCACATAATTTAAACAGAATCTCCAAACTGTTTGAATAGAAGAATTGATTTCTTAATCGAATCATGACCCTAAAAATCAGAATCGAATCTACATTTTTTGCTAGACACTGAAAAATTTACATTTCTACAAAGTAAAATGCAATTCTGAAGTGAATCCCACAGCCGTCTAGTGCAGCTGTGGGAAATGCAATACTTTTGTGATACTTACATCCACATATTCAAACTAGTGAGTCATAGTTTTCTTAGATGTTTTCCATACATTAGACAACCCTTCCTCTCCCATCACCTCCCACCCCAACCTCCCACTGAGAGCCATAAAAACACGTTTCCTGAGAACTAATGCAGCAGCATGGCACCATTACATCACATCCATCAGCGCCTCTGCACACCCAGATAAGGAAGGTTAGGTACACAGAGCCTCCTACTCTTGTAATGAGGTAATTATGGGTTACGTATGACAGATCCCTACAGTGGCTTTATTTGTGCAACTGTTTGTGGGCCACAGTGACAAAGGCTGCAATTACTTGCACTCTGTTATTTCCTGCCAGAAACGTTGAGTTGGCTTTGTGTTTAGGTGTCAGTTAGGTAAACGTATGTACGTAGCAATATGAGTCGTGCTTCTCTTTTTGTCTATTCATCACAACAGTTTGCTTCCAGTGGGGAGAGGCTGTGGTTATTTCAACCTTATGAAAACTAAATATAAGGTGTGAAGAAAAGGAGAGGCAGAGGTTTCTGTCTGACATGAAAAGTGAGGAAACAAGTTGATGAAAGATTGCTCACAAAATTTCTACACATTAAACCATCAAACCTCACAATATTCTGTCTTAAAGGGGCAACATCATGTAAAATCAACTTTTTGAGCTTTATATCATGTTATAATGTTATTCCCTCATGCAAAATAAACACGTTTTTGCCTTGCTTTGTTCATGCATGTTAGAGAAATCTTTTAATCTCCATGACAACCATTCAGCTGTGCAAAACGCCTGCTTGGACCTAACCCAGATTTCAAGGGGCTCCTCAGACCTGCAGTCTCCTAGCTTCTGCCTCACAGAGCAATCATCCTCTGTGATTCACCCACTAGGCTCCTTCAGACTAGCCAGCAGCAATTAGCAAACTCCTGGCAGAGCTGCTTCTCAGTGCAATCCTGGTAAAGAATGTTAATAAGGGGTTAATAGAGGAAGCATGTTGTGATGAAGGTGGAGTTTCAGAAAGAACAGGAGTTTTTAAAGAGACAGAGGCCCAATTTCAAGGCTTTAAATTACAAAGTACATTTTCTTTGAATTCAAATGTGATATATAGCATTTTTGTTACAACTAAAGGTAACATAGTTACTTGACATAGTGTCTAGAAAATACTTCTCCTTTAAGAAAACAAATGTATTTCTTTTTTTTAATGTATTTCATAAATACACTATTGTTTACTATGTTTCATCATAGTAAACAATAATGTAAACCCTATAGTTTTAGGGTTTCCAAAAACTATAGGGTTTTGGAAACCCTATAGTTATCAACTTGATATTTAAGCTGAAATGCCTGACTCGGCATTCTGAGAGCTGACCACACTTTTATGTGTGGATGTTACTACTGACTGAAGTAGACTCAACGATTGGCCATTTCTGTTTTTATTTAAGCACTTAAAATAAGAAAAGAGTTGCTGTTTAAAGAACATTTCTGTGGTTCATGTGAAACGGGAAAGAGCTCGACTCTGAAGAGAACAGAGCACAAGGCTGACTTTCTAGCTTGAACCTCTCAGTTATGGAATATGCTACACTGGCAAATGCTTTAATCCTCGTAGAGGCCCCAAAGCGAGGGTGAGGGTATGTATTTACTAGAATACACATCAATATAAGCAAAAGACAGTTAAAGATATAATCTTATCACTTAGTCTGTTTCAAAATAACAAACATTTTTCGGCATCCTTTCTCTCAGGATATAACATCATATGTACCTAAAATGTACTGGAATAGTCAAACATAAAAGTGTGAGCATGGATATATTTTTTTAGATTAAAATACAATACATGAAAACCTTTTTGTTATGACTGTATATCCAGAAGAGAAAAACATAAAAATGATCCTTTAGGAAAAATGAGGGGATTAAAAAGCATTTAGCGAATCGTAAATCTTAGTAATGATGGGAACAGATATGATGAAAGTGGTTTGAATGAAAGTCTTAAAAAAAAAAAAAACATCCTTATTGCAGGTCAAACCAAGCAGTAACTTGGTGAGAAATGTCCCCAGATAGTCTCCTTGACCTAATATTTCTATGGAAATATGTTCCATGGGTGACATTCTGAGTGAAAAGAGCCACGACTACATTGAATAAGTGCTTTCATACTCCACAAGTCCTTCAGTTAATTGTAAACGTCTCCCTTTTTATTGGTTTTAGTACAGAGTGACGTTAGTCCTAGTCATCCTTCTTGATTCATGGACCATAGCAGTCATTGCATGTAGCCATAAATGACAAAATTTCCTTTAAAATGACAAATGGCTGTGACAGAACGGTTAAAGGCTGCTGGTGGAATTAGAGGTTGACCTCAATGGTGTAATTAGAGGAGAGTCATTCTTTTCTCAGAAGCCCTCTGTATCTGCAGCCCCTCCACCATTATAAAGCAGAAACTAGAATAATAATAATCTTTTCAGGGCTTATTAATAGCAGAGTTCTGCCCAAATGATTGTTCTTAATGTTCTTTTGTCTGGCTTCCTACTTTGTGTGTGTTAGTAAATTATGTGAACAGGGTTTACTATTTTAAAAGACAGACCAACAGACGACAGAACTGAGCTGCTGAGCTGTCTTTACGTTAAGAACCGGCTCAGTGAGCAAAGCCTCATGAAATAGCCAAATCTGGTATGTTCATAATGGGGGTTTACAGTTTCAATGTGTTCATTTCCCATCACCGACAGAAAAATCAGCTTTATCGCAGCCTGAATTCCACAAACTGCACAGCTTTTACGTAGCTTCTTACATCTCCATTATTTCTAATTTTCCTTTTAAACATCTCAAGTGTTAGCCGCTGCTAACTAAAAAGTTAGTTGCAGTAACTCTGTAGCACTCATCATAAATATTACTTACGGTCAGCAGTACACAAGCAGTTTTTAGCAGAAGCTAATGCTACAATGCAAACTTCTATTTGATTTAAACCTGCCCTTGAAAGACTGTAGTCATTGAGCACCGATTTGATTTTGACATTAATTTACATATTCTATTATACTGTTCGGTGCTGTATTTATATTTATAACTTGTTCCCTACCATTTGTTTATTTTGTTCTTGTTTCTTTTTCTGGTTGAACTAAAAAACGGGAAGGAAAAAAACAGGGTGCATAAACTCTTCACTCACTTTAAAATAAGAGCATGAATATATAAGTGTTGATCATCAAAACCTCATCCCAGACTTTAAACGTTATTTACCTTAAAGTTTGCAAAACAGCCACGTAAATCGGCATTTTACAATTTGTCTGGAAAAATTTGTTTGGGGGAAGATAAATGAGCTAAATGTTTTCAACTTTAGCAAAAGCATGAAACAAAAAAATCAGATATGCTATTAGCAGATTAGCATAAATGTGGCACTCTGACAGCAGAAAACACTGTGGCATTTAGCATGTTGTATTCCCTGTTCCAGAAAACAGGGAATACAACATTTATATTATAAAATAAATTTCCAACCGGCTTTGTTTTTAACCAAGGTGAAAACTGTTTAGTCACCAGCTAATGTTTCATCTGTTAGGTAATTATTTTCACATCTGCGTTTTGAGACAAAGAAATGAGGCTAATGGATCCTCTGACTGTGACTTATAAAAAATTGATAGTTTCTTTCTTACACACTCTTCACTGTATTTGTGCCAGGACAGCTGCGGGGCCTGACTTTGGATCTGGTACAGTTGAAGTTGACAGCCATATGGCTGAATGGGCACAGCCTCTCAGGGGAAAGGTTGACATGATTGGGTGGGAAACAAACAGGCTTTGACACTTTGAGGAGACAGGTGTCACTGATACAGAGCCGGTCTGGGTCTGATGTTTCCTTCAGACTCGTGGTATTCTCGTAGGACAGCTTATTATGTGGCGAACTCCAGCAGCATCACGCTGTGCGTCTTCAGGGCCTGCAGCAGCCAGTGCAGTAGTGGCCCATCACAGCACTTTGCTTTGATTGGAGATGATGCGCGTCTTCTGGCCTAAGGACATGAAGGGAAGCCGTCCCGTTTGGTACAGGCAGCCAGACAGGAAATGATAGCTACCATTTACCAGACGGTGCCACCGCAGGAAACTACTCCCCTTTTTGCTGTTGTCACAATGGATTTGACTGTCACCCCCTGTAACAAGACGGCCTTTGCGGCTGGATTTACAACGGAGATGGAAATTGAGGCAGAGTAAGGTGGAAACAGCAATGGTTTCTTCTTCCAAAAACACAGAATCAAGAACAATGTCACAGACGCAACTGCAGCCTTAAATATTTCCAGTTGTGAAAGACCAAACCACCTCCAAATCACAGGGGATCTCAATTTACCAATTTCCACCTATTTGAATAAAAGTCCTTTCATCAAATACAAGCATTTCTATTTACTTTTTATAAATATTTTATTTCATCCTTACACCATAAGCACCATTATAAAACACCACAAAAACTCACAAACAATTCTCCCCCCATGCTTTTCCATGGCCTCCCCCGGATTCACTCCATATCAGCACCGTCACACTTAACATATTACACACTGACATTTGCTCAAGTTTTACAAACCAGTAGCTCCTTTTTCCGAGTAACAATTATCCTCCCTCACTGAGGAGCAGCTGTGCAGAGTCTAGAAAAAAAGGCTGAGTTTCTTTGTCTTGACTTTACACAACTCCTCATGCTTCTTATAAGCAGTGAATGAATTAATCGCAGGATTAATGTAACCCTTGTGTGTATCGGTTTGAAGCGATACAGTTGATGCCAGCTTGGGGTTCGAGTGGACCCCGCCCAGGTGAAAACGACCCAGTTGATGCCGATGCTGGGGATGCCAGCTGTGGGGGTCCATCGTCCTGGATCCCCACAGCAACAACAAGGATCCAACTTGATCCTTGTTGTTACGAACTAACAGCAGCACCATAACGCACAACAGCAAGTAGGGAATGACACCCCCCCAGCGTTGCACACCACAGACTGATCAGGCAGTGCAGCACAGGAGGATCTGAGGGTAAAATGAAAGACTTGGTGTTTCACATTCTTGTTTCTTTTACATCAGATGAAAATTTGATGTATTGTTATGCAGATTTGATCAGTCCCTTTGAGAGAATCAAATAAAAACAGTTTGATTCGTCAATGTGGCTTATCATTTGACTAGTTGATGAAAATTCATTTTATGGCTGCTATCTAGCATTTTAAGTGTTTGACTCTCATATACAATGATGGACACATCACACACTGAATATGTGCAACAGATTTTTGAGCCTACCCTTCCTCTCATCTATCAGTCATTCCACTCGTCTCATGGGGTTTCATTTCGTAAACTCACTCTGTGTAGATGATTTCTTCTTTCTGCTGATTGAAAATGACTTCATCTGTTTGGAAGATGCTACCGTTTGACATGTCTTTGACCAAAATATTTAAAGTATGCAAAATACGTTCTGTATAAAAATTTGAATAATTTAAGAGTATAACTATAAAAGTCTAATTTGAACTCATGTTTCATTTGGAAAAACTCTATAAAGGTGATAGTTCTCTATTTGTAAACCCTGGAATGCTGCAGTAACAATGTGCTCTGCAGAATATCGTCTCAACTTGTCCGTTCTGGTTATTGTCTCCATGACAGATGGCGCTGCTGACAGCGGAGAGCTGGACCTGAGTGGCATAGATGACAGTGAGATCAATTTGGTATGTAGAACCTCTTCATGGATTTTCACTTGATAGCCAAACATTTATACACATCCCTACATATTGCAGAAAACACTTTACAATTATTTCAAAAAATAAAAAAATAAATCAAATGTTTAAAGTGCATCAGGGTGACTGTTGCAGGGTTAATTTCTGAGTTCTTTTTTGTATTTTTTTGTAGTTTTGGCTTAAAACAACATTCTGTGATCTTTATGGAGTCTCATCTGAACTTTGTTTTTGTTAGTAAAACTGAGAACTGAGCACTGTAGAATCTTCAAGGTCTTCTGCTATCAGTCGGTCTGCTGCAACATGCCTGAATCAACACACACACACACATACACACCTTTGTATCACATTCCAACAGCTTGACATGTGCAGACATTGACCGGTCCATAGTATTATCACCCACCCAATTAGATTGCGGTGTGTCCCTAAGTCCAGGCTATTGTCCCAAGAAGATGAATATGTAATGTAATCTGATTACTTTTCGTAAAGGGCCCAGCACTTTTCAACTTTACATGTGGTCAAGACTAAATTAGACTTCAGCTTGCGAAAACTGAGACTAACTTTCCTCAGACTGCTATCAAAAGAACTGGGTGACAGGAAAAGCCAACAAGTGAATGAAAGGGTTGCCAAAATCAATCTTCTCTTTTCTAAACAGACTGTGGCTGCAGTGTTTTGGTTTGCACAGTTTAGTCCTGGAAAACCAAAAGCTGTCAAGATTTTTTCAACAGACGAATCTTAAACGGCTGTGGATGGATGACGATTCGGGCTTGTTGAGCACCCTGCAGTGATTGAGTCACTCTTGAACTTCACATGGAACCAAATGTGAAAAACATGCCCTGTACTTTATTGCTGTAAAATCATTCACTTTTTTTTTGTCTGGAATTGAACTTCTCTATTTTTTTGTATCTCTGCAGTATCTGCTAAGTGACAAAGAAGTCCAAATCAAAACTGCCCTCTGGATGGCAGAAAATGCAGACTACCTAAAAGCGCAAAAAGGTACTGGAGGCCGCATGACCGTTTAGCGTAGGGTGTGCTTCAGTGCAGAATTTTCTTTTTATTTAAGTACATTGGCTGATTTCATACTTTGATGGACCTTTCACTTTTTAAGTCAGCTCTGTAGACACGTTATTGAGCGTTATTATTGTTTACATTTGGAAATTTTGCAGAAGCCCCCAACTCTGGAGGGCAGACAGACTGTCCTTTTACTGCCCTTCCATTGCTGTGATGCTGCAGTAGAACAATCTAATTGTTAAAATGTTCTACTTCACATGTAGGTGTTACTAATTTTGTGCAGTGTGCCACCTGAAATGGAAAGTATCGCAGAAACACCGGTGAACAAAAAAATAAATTGATATCATTCATATTTTTTTTCACCCTCTATTGGCTTTACACTACTCACAGACCTGTTGCCATAGCAACTGACAACAAATTTTAAAAATTAAGCACAGAATTCCGCAGTATATCTACATGTGGGGGTTTTCAAAGTCAAGCTAGCATAACTGACCTACTTTCCTCTCTATTTTCTTTTTTAATAAAACATTTTTTACACACCTGGAAAATGTGATACCATTTGAGCTCTTTGTCTAGCTGTGATTGTGTTGACAATAAATAGCAAAATCTTTTGTATAGGATGTTGCAAGGTGTCTGTAGGCGCACAGATTGTAGTTAATGTTTTTTATGCTCATCATTGTTCTTGTTTGCAGAAAAGGAAGCAAAGATCCAAAAAGAGAAGGAGCTTGGGATCTATAAAGAAAGAAAGGTAAAGCTAATCAACCTGGAAATGTTGGAATTTCAACAGAAACACAAAAAGCTGATCAATGAAAAAAATGCAAAGTAAAATATCTGACAGTTTGAATGTGAAAGTCAGACAAAAGGGCAAAGGTGAGCTTTTATTAAAAGCTTAACTTGTCCTGTACTTAGGTTTTTAATATTTAGAGCAGATTTTGCAGATTTTGTGATTTCAAAATCTGCTCTCAAAACACATTCTGAAAAGAACATGCCATTTACCTCACAAAAGTAGGATAAAATAAAAATCAAAATTTACGAGTTGGGTCAGGAAATCAGGAGTTGACCAGTCGGTTTTCATTTCTAGTGGAGACTGGCCAGAAGGAAGCCGAACAATCTGACCTTTTCCTGATTGTAGAAAGCAAAACTGTGCAGGCAATTATTTCTTGTTAAAGTCATAATAAAAGTCTGTTTTACAGCAACTCATCTTTCACATCATAGCAAGAAAGTAAGAATATTAATATTCTCTTATATCTTGCTAAGGTAGTATTTCTTAAAAACATGGCATAGTGTAAGTGTGGTGTTCTTAGGTCAAACCTTTAAAACAAAACAGAAAATATTTTCATGAAGCTTTAAAACATATAAATGATTTGAGAATGAGAAGGTCATTTGCCTCAGAGAATTGGGGATTAAATAAATAATTTTTAAAAATGCACTTCAAGTTGTCTGTTTTTGGTTTGTGAACCATTTAAGTTCCTGTAAAATACATTGTTTGTGGCTATGTGCCGAACTGTAGAAATATTTATTTTGTTTGTTTTTAGATGAACAACTTTGTCTTTTGGCATTTAAAGTCATGTTTGATTGGGAGTGTTGTCATTGTTTAAAATAATGTCACATTTTACACACTTCAGTTTAAGAGTAGCCTTCCTTTTTGTTTTGAACAGCCCAGACGGCCCTCAAAAAAGCACCCTGCCATCAGAGCCAGCTCTGCTGATGAGGCCATTGAGAAGATGTTGGAGCAGAAGAAGATATCCACCAAGATCAACTACGACGTGTTAAAGGACCTCGTGGTGAAGCCTGGCAGCAGCCCGGCTGATGTGGGAGAGTCACCGAAGGTGGAGCCGCTGGCCCCTAGGACGCCCACCTGCACCCGCAGACCTGCGCCCAGCAGAACCTCACTGAGCCTCAGCATGCCGCTCAACTCTCTGGGAAAACGGTAGGTGGTCCTGTTAGCTTTACTAGAAGATGTTCCTAACAAAACAGCAGATATGTAAATTTGACAAAATCAGAACTGGAAGAGTTACTGTTGGTGGATCTCGTGTGTGTTGTTTTAAGTGATTTTCATGCTATCAATATATATTCAGGACACAATATCTAACTGATGGCATTGGATCTTTGAGGAAAAACAGCTAACTTTAGTATTAATCAGTTAGGTCTGTTCTTTCACAAAAGCAACAAGTAGCACTAACCTGGAGAATAGGCAGCATGCAGACATTACCTGTCATAGAAATATTCAAGCTGAGACATAGAGCAGTGGTTCCCAACCAGTTTTTCACTTGAGAGTCACAGTGTTTTTGTTCCTGATAGTCCAGTAGACTCAGTTTGATTGGGAACTGAAGTTAAAACATTGTCAAACTAACCAAAGTTCCCCTTCTCGCCTGTGGGGGCGCTGCTCCAAGAACCACTTAAGAAAATTCCATAAAAACTTCTGAAAAAGACAAGAGCAAAACTTCTTTTTTCACAAAATGTAAACAAAAATGGAGTGACATCAGCTCTTAGTGTTTGTAGGATTTCTGTTTTGTCTTTGGCTAGAGACCTCTCAGTAGAAGTGCACCGGTTGCAGTTTTCTGGCAGATTACCGACCTTTCAAAAAGCTTAACCTGTTGATTCTGGCCAATACGAATTTTTTTGTCTGAAATGTCGCTCAATATAGCAAGAAAGTTGTTGAGTTGGCAACAGTGGGGTGACTATTGTTAACTGCAAACGTGTAGACATATCTTGATGGGCTGAAGTGTCAGTCAAACCTTTCTCATCGGAGACAGTGGTTGACTCTTAGACATTTGCCAAGCTAGAGAAGATCCGTGGATAAGATCAGCTTCACATGTAAAAAAAAATGAAGAAAATCTCAAAATGAAGAAAATCAGCACAGATAAATCGGCTGACCAATAAATCAGTTCACCCCTTTTACATCTCTGTAGCCCTCTGACCTTATTTTAAATACTTTTTACAATATTGAAGACAACCAACATTGACTTTTTTTAATCTCAGTAGCAGAATCTGTACCAAACCTTTGAATCTTCAAAAAATACAAAGGAAAATTTGTTGGATCCTTCTGGACAGGTGAAGTATGCTCATCAGTAGAGTATACCTCTACTGATGAGGCATGAAACAAACATCAGGATGGTTAATATAGATTGCATTTCAGATAACTCCCAGTGCCTTTGGAATGTGGAACCCCATTAAATCTTCACATCTCCTCTGAGAGGATTTCAGCTGTCCTTTGACAAAAATGCCAGCTTGACTGTTTACTCCGTTTCTTCCAATGCTGTAAAATTTTGCTGAATCAGTAGGTTATGTCAGAGATGAGTGTATCTCTCATAATTTCCACCTTAGGCATATAAATCTGACTATAATTACGTTAGCTTAGTGATCCTTAAGTACCTCAAACTACTAAATCATCTCTGTCCCTAACAGATAGCCAATTAAATCAAGACTAGATGGATCCCAGCTCTTTCTTTACTGCCACACCAGCCATTCATTCTCTTCTGCTACTCTCAGACCTAGATGATATTTTTTTCCCCTGGCTTCAATCTGTAAACACTAGAAGGCTCCACCTCGTTTCCTTCCGCCTGACTAAGATAATCAGCTGCGACAGGAGGACAGATGCTCGGTTTGCCTCTCCACTCCTGAGGGATATTCCTTTTTTTTTTTTAAACCAACTTCTCAAATCCACAGAAAGGATTTGTCTGTGGGTGTTGCTTTGACGACAAGCAGTCACAGAAAAGATCCGCTCTGTTCCTTTTGAAAGAATTTAATCGTTCTGGGTTTGCCGTACAGAAAAAACTAAATGGTTTTCACTGTATTTGATTTTGGGAGGAATTGGTTTTCCTACATGGCTTTGTTTTCTAAAGCCCTTTGAGTTAACGCTGGGTTTGGGTGCCATCTTTGAGCTTTAGTGGACCCCTGTAGGGGCAGCTGTTTGGTGATTAAGGGGATGTAAAGCCCCACTGTTGGCTCTGTCTCTCATCTTTCGGTTAGTTCATCTCTATTCATTGGTTGCCGTTTTCTTTGTTAAGCCGGTTCTGAATCATGATGTAGTGTGCTGTTTGGTCTCAGAGACGCTGAAGGATTTTGATAAGTCTGTTAAGTCTGCTGCAGTTTATCATGCTCTTTTTAGCACAAGCTACTTTTGTTGTTAAACACATTTATAAACCCTGCAGCAGACCTAGCTTATTACTTGCCTCTCCACAATGAGGATTTCAGAAATTCTGCTATGAATATAGGATTTAGTACCATCTTTATACAATATTTTGACTGATCTTGACAGATCCCCATAGTATTTGATGAGTTTTACATTTATGTCCACTTTTATCAGGCATGGTTCTATAACATGTAAGAATCCCTCAACATCAAGTCCTGTCAGATTAGTGGACATGAATCCCATATCTACTATCATCTAGTAGTTGCTGCCTGGTTATCATCTTCTCTGTTCTATGTCTCTGTTAGGTGCAGTGAAAGTGAATACTGTGTTGGTGATCAGTGGAAAGGCTTATGGATTCTTAAATTAGAGGAAAATGTGTAAACAGAGAAAATATGCTCTCCTACTGTAGAAACATACTTCAGCTCTCAACAAAGCTCTGAAATTTGAAGACCCTTGAACCAGTTCATGAACAAAAGACGTATGGAAGATATGGAAACACTCTGAATGGAAGATCTGGACAGCCTCTGTGTTTGGGGTTTCCTCCTGGGACAGATACAGTTGTCACAGAGTTTAATATTTTTAGGTCTAATTTATTTAGATTTGTAGTCTTTAAATTGAGACTGTTTCTAATAAGGGCCAGAGACATCACTGTATTTGTTTGATTCACAATATTTGACTTGGCTCAGTGGAGTGACAGCAGCTCCTCCTCTGCCGTCCAGACATCTTCCATAGGATGTCTGGACAGCATGACAGAAGCTAAGGGGTAAAAAAAAAAATTGGGCCATTTGGATAAAATCCCTGTTTTATCTGCCAAATGAAACAAAATGCAGCCTAACAAACAATTAACACTGTTCACATGCAGTTGATTTTAGCGTGATGGATGGTTTCCTGAAGCCTCAAGAAGGCGCGCCTTGCTACCTAAAGGTTATGTTATCTTTCCTGCCATGTTAGTCTTCACTCCCAAAACCTTACATTTTATTCACTCTTCCAGCTCTGCTTTATTGAACCCCCACCAGCACCACCTCCTCCACCTTGCCAAGCTATTACCAGTCTTCAGCCATTGGCTAAACTACTTCCCTCAATCATCTTTTCAGCTCAGGCTGAGTGTCATTGGCAGTAAGCTGATTAGGAACGCACGGCTAAACCCAGCAGAGACTGAAAGCCCAACGTAGCGTCTTGCCTGAGTGGATGGATAAAGCCAGCGACGGAGGAGCGCAAGGGGAGGGAAAGTGAATGTGCAGACGAAGTAAAATGGGGTGGACAGGATGGGAGGCTGATTAATAGTTTGAATATCATTCTGTGTCACGGTGCATCTCTTTGGGTAATTAATCTGTGGTATACATTTTAACTGCAGCTTAAAGATGGGTTAATGAGATCGGGGAGAAACTGCAGTTTGACTGCAGATGTATAAGGAAGAATTCATGTAATACAATGTGCAGCGTTAAGTAAGACAAACCTGAATAGTAGGCATGATGGATCTGTGTGTTTTACTGTAATGAGTACTAAGTGGTTTGTAGTATAGCCTGAAGACATCTGAGTTAATATAATAGCTGCATCAGACTCATATTTAAATGTGCCTTAAGATGTATAAAGGAAACAATTTTAGCTGTCAGTGAGCAAATGGTTTCTGCCTTTAATTATTACCATGGTGAAATTAGTGTTAGGCATGGACCAGTAGGATGTTCTTATTGTTTGATAACTTAGCTACAGTCATTCATGCTGCTGCTGGAAAGATGACTTACTGATTGTTCCAGTTCTAATGATAATATTATAGAATAATATTGAACAACGGAACAGTTCTGACAGAAGTTTGGCTTTAAAAAACAAAGTTTTTAAAACCTTGGCATAAGTTTGATATGTATGAGAGCATATTAGGGCTAAAAATGAGTAAATTTCCATCAGAAAACTGACATTTTAGATTCTCTCAAATTTTCCAGAAAAAATAAATTTGAATTTCTGATTTTTAAAAGTTGGAGAAAAAAAAAGAAAAATTCCAAGAAAATCTCTGAGAGTAGTCTCCAATTTATGAGTGCTTTTTTGTGATTGTTGTGTATTTGTATCACACAGTGCATTTATATACTTGTGCTGAGAATGTGCCCTGTGGTGAAAAGGTTTACAGGGTGTGAATACTTTCACAAAGCACTGTAAATAAACACACACTGTTGCATGCATGGCTTGTTGTTCAACTGCATGTGAGCTACAATTTTCTTCTCTACTTTTCAAGAAAGATTCTCTGAGTGAACCCTGTTGGATTTGCATTGAGCAGCGCTGGTTCTTCATATTTAAGTTTCAGTGATTTGGACGTCGTCTGAAGCGTTTGGATCTGGTCTATTCTGGACAGACCGGGTTGTCCTAATGTCTCTCCACATGCTGAGATCAAGACCTCAGTGAGAACACTGCTCTCTATTGTACTCTGCGGGAGGGAGTGATTTATTTGTACTCACTATGTCGCCTGCTCCATTGACCGAGAGTCACTCCCTGCTATTGTGAATGGTCGCCATGGTGATAAAAGGCTGCCAAGAAGTCTGCCACTGCAAGCCTGGCAACTCTGCTGATGGCCTTTTGATCTTTGACCTCCTCAATAGACCTTAGGGAGCTGATATTAATGATTGCCGTCACACCGAAAGCAATTAGCTTCACTGTGAATAAATATTTTGACAGAAAGTAGAAAACCGTTGCCAGCAGATCTGTGTTGTTGAGGACTATTGATCCAAAGTCTGGAGCATAAAGGCTTTAAACCACCCAGTAAAAAGAGGGGAAGTTTCCTTTCATCAAACAATATGAAGTGGCAGTAAGTCGTATTGTTTTTTTTTTTCGACTAAGCAAAAGTTTCCCTTTGAGAGAGACAATATTTATTCTGAGAACAGCAACAGATGTGTATTTGTCTCATAGTGGTGGATCTGTATTGCTGGTTGGTTCTTCCGGTCCAAACAGAATCAGCAAATTGGTTCATTTTTTCCTGAGTTTTGCTACCTGACATCTGCCACCGTCCTCACCCTGAAGACGTGTGCTGCTCCTTTTCTCAACACATGCATCACACTTAGTCTGTTCTATTAATTTCTTAATGATAATTTGATTCAAAACTTATTTCTTCTTCAGACGTTTCTCCATCTATCTGACCTTTTAAGTTCTGTTTGCTTTTACTTTTGGCATGTTGGTTTTGGGTTGATGTGCAGAAGCTTTCTTCTCGTAAACATGGCTGTTAGCCATGAAGTTCAAAGAGTTTAGCTTTAGCATTATCTGACATAACTTTTTTCTCTCAGTATTTCATTGGCTTATAATCTTTTCCTTTTCCAGCAGTGGAGTCTTGTGCAGTGCATAAAAACTATTGAAGGATTGACTTGTTTCTAATCCCATCCATTCACTCTGATCAGCTTCCCTGTCCCTGCTAAAGAAAAGGTTCATCCCTACATGAAGCTGCTGCCACCGCCATGGTTTTTTCTGGATGTTTGAGTTTTCTGATGTTGGAGATTAAAACTTCCAGCTTCAGCTCATTGTTTGATGAAAGGGGCCAAACGTCTCTGTTATTGCAGCGCAGTTACAGGAAAAGTATCACAGTTTGGGCAGATGTGAATGAGTCGGTTTAGACTTTGAATAATTCAGTTTTCTAGTACAGATGATATCAAAATATAGATTTTTTTACAACCATAATCCAATTGGTTGGGAAACCCTGCATCATATATGTGGATTCATGGGCAACAGCAGCCAGTTATCCAAACCGTTTGACTCAACTTCACCGACTCCCAAGGTGCACAGAGAGGACTAAAAATCTGTAAAAGATGAATCGACGGATTACTAAACCCACAACTCCCAGACTGACTTTTACCGCCCTCCCAAATTTCCTTCAAATATATTTTGTACCGTACTGTATTTTTGTTTTGTTTTTTTCTCCCACTAAGACAATTTCTTTTTTTTCTTTTTTTTTAATCCGAAGAGTTTTTGTGGCGCTACTGGCTCATATTTTTTACAGTAAACAGGATGAGGAGAAGGGGAAAGACATGCGGCAAGGGTCGCCGGGACCGGGAGTCGAACCCGCGACGTCCGAGTCGAGGACTGAGGCCTCCAAACGTGGGGTGTGCTAACCCCCTGCGCCACAACAACATGCCCCGACAATTTCTAACTTAAAATGTTGACAGTGTAAAGTTGGCTGGTCAACTTGACACAAGGTAGTATAGGTGATACTACCTACAAGTTCTAGATAACTTTATTGAAAGATCAATGCAGTTCAGCTGGTGACCCTCATGGAGGCCACAAGTTAAAATGTGTCATTGGTCTTTCAACAGTTGTGTGCACCATGTCTAAAACGCCATAGTTTTACTTTGATACTTCTTTTCTTGACCTCTCTGTGACCTTTGCCTGCATTTTTTGCTTTTATTCCTCTACCAGGTTCCTATTGTCCCTCACCATTCCCCTCCCTGACAATGTCCATCTCAGGCCGCAGGGGAGTTGCTCTTGTCTAACACATGTGACCTGAATATTTCTCTCCGTAGTGAGGGGTCCACCACCTTGTCTGGGATATTATAATAAGGTTTGAGAATGAAGGGGGGTAGCGTGGGGGGTGAAGATGAAACATTCCCCGCTCTCCCGTCCTTTTACCCCGGTTACAGCAGATTAATTAAAAGCTCACTCACACTCTCCGTCTTATCAGAGAGAGTTGAGCTCGGCACCCGGCTGGGTGGGCATGAAAGAAGGTGGGGAGCCCCCGGGAGTTATGTTAATATCAGCCAGCATGGTGGGATTTCTACTTAGGTATTACCGCCAGTGGTAAATTCATTGCTGATTATCTCTTGGGCTGTCTAAGAAAAGATTTCCTTCTCAGAGAGACATGTCACTCAAAGATGGGTCTGAGCTCCTTCTCATTCACACCATTTCACTGTCAGTTTCTTGGAGTCCATAGAGATTTAGAGAAGGTAGGACTCTAACAAAGTTATTTGCTGGTATTTCCTTGCAAATCGGCTACATTGTCCAGAGTTTCTGTAGATTATGAATGTAAAAGAATCAATTTATAACTAGGCGTAGCACAGGCCAGGATTTGTGGCCAAAACACAAATATTTGGACCAATCAGTGTCATATGCGTTTGGTTTTCAGTCAAACTGAAGCTCATATTATCCACCAGACTGCCTTGTTGAGCTATTTGTTGTCTACGTCTTGATTTCCAAAGACTTTCACAGATAAAAGGATGAGACTGCAGTGCCTCGCATACACCCCAAACATTTTCCTGTTTCTCACAACACAACCAAACACAGACTTTATATAAAAAACCAAGAGAAAGGAAAATAAATAATTAATTTTATGAACAACAGAGCTTATTAAAAATGTGTGTGGGTTTTTTTTTTTTTTTAATGAAGAATGTAGTGCTAACGACAGTCGTCTGAAGCTAAGTAGCTAACTTGGTAGATCCTGAGTCTAATTAAACTCCAGTAAAAATGAGCGTGTTCAATAAATGAATTAGACATGAATATTTATAGAAATAGTGCAAAGTAGAGATGTGAATCGCAGTCGAGGTGCATTGAGGGTGGTTTTCATTAGAAAAGCTTCACTTCCTGATGCAGCTTTCTTAACACAATTAAGCCTGATAAACATGGAAGATCCATCCACCTGTCCACTGATAAAATCCAGCATCAGTTTTCCTTTCCTCTCTTCTATCAAGTTTTCTAAATTACATATATTAGCTACTAATGTATTTATAGCCTTAATAATAGGATGTAACTTGCTTGAATCTCAACATTAATATTATAAGACAAATTAAATTGGATTCATTTTGTTTACATAGAGCCAATTCATGGGTTTCATACTTTTAACCATTGCATTATTTACATCCTCTGTAAAGATTAAAAATGTAATTCCATGTAGGTTTTTCTGATTCTATGTCTTTAATCCTCATTGTGTTGCAGACTGCAGCCGTTCATCAGCAGACAACCCAAGAAGAAGCTGGCTGTGGAGCAGGTGAGCTTCCTGTTCATTCGCTCTGCAGCTAATATATCACTTTCTGTAAAACTTCACTCCGAGTTTCCAGAAGGCCGACAATATTTTGGCACAGAGCCAAACCGCATCAACTGCGCCCTCTAAAAATAACCCCACTTATGTATGAACTGACCAAAAGAACCCGCTAAAAACAAGTTAATTTTTAGGTCAGATAATTGTTTTTTGTAAATATTCAAGCAATATTAAAATTTTAGATTTTCATTGGAGTTCTCCTTTAAGTTAAGTGGAATTTATTTACTAATCATGTGACTTCTGAATGCAACTGGTTTCATCAGGACTATAACACTGTTCAACATCCAAAACATTGTCTGGGGTTTTTCATCTGTTTTAGGGTCATGTTGATGAATCTCATTGGTTTTGCTCAATCAAGTTGACTTTCTGAACTATGGAGCAACATGAGCATCAAAATGCAGGACTTGTTCTGACATCTGGATCAATGAGTGATGAGCAGGAGGAGAGATTCCATCAGGACACAAAAGAGTCGGAGAATTTTACCCAACGAAGACGTCTTACCCTTATTAGAATTTATTATTCAATTTATAGAAATCCAAGTTTGTGACATTTAATTATTACACTCTGTCAGAAAACTTTTTTTTTCTCCTAAAATCTGTTTTTGGTTTAGAAATATGAACTGAAATGACCTTGATTTGACTTGATTATATGAGCCACTAAACTGGTGAAAATAATCAGCGTCTCTTCCTGATTGTTTGTCAGACTGAAGCCCCTCCCCCCCGAGCAGTGACAGCAGAGGCCCCGCCCAGTGCAGTTGTCGAGAGTGGGCCAGTCCTGTATGATGATGCAGACGAGGAAGAGGACGAAGAGGAGGAGACCTGTGTCAGTGCCATGGAGCTGCTGGGCGGCGACGGTCAGTTTAAACACACAGCAGGTGTTTACCTTTGAGAGCGCCTGATGAATAAATGTAGTTAGTTGCTACTTAAATATGTTTTTTTTAATTGTTTTTTCATTTTAAACAAGTGGTACCATATTGTCAAATTTCCCATTTTGTTTCATCACTTATGTTTTTTTTTTAACAAAATAAGTCTGGAGAAACTGAAGCATCTTCTCATCAGATCTCTTTATACCACAATAAGGCTGCATTCACACTGCAGGCAAACATCCAAATTCAGTTTTTTTCTTTTCACCCCACAGAAAAATTCTGTGCCACTTCCACATGTGGTACCAAGTTGTAGATGTTTTTCAAAGCGATATTTATGATAATAAATATTTTTTTATATTTATGTTAATACAGAGGAAAACAATGGCTGACATTATAATTTTGAACTTATAAAAAAATGTCTGTCATATTAGTTGCGCTTTATTTTCATTTGCTTCTTTTGCGTGATGATCTTGTAATGATGCTCTCCACTCTCATTGATGAATAAACTTTAAAACTAATCCATAAACTTCCTCATCCATTATTACTTCTGTAAACTGTATTACTTCAGTGTGACGTCTATGTTCTTCTTCGGTTCACTTTGGGATCCTTATCCGTTTACACAGAAGTCAGATTGCGGGAGTCTAGTCTCATTTAATTAATAATATGAACAACCACGTAAAATATATATATATTTCAGCAAAAAATCAGAGTTGAGCATCGAGACCTGCTGTATGAATGTAACAGATATGTCATTTACATGGCTTTAACAAGACAAATACATTTAGAGTTTGAGATTCCAATTAAAATGTAACCTAAAGCAGTCCAGCTCATTGCTTTGAGTCACCGCAGCAGTTCCTCATACTGAGGAACATGTTGTGAAAGTGGAAAGGAAGAATTTTCTTTTCACAGGAGGAAACCTCCAGCAGGAATCTGATTCAGGACCACATGTGGAAGTGACTCAAACCCGACTCAAAACAATCAGATCTGATCCAGAGGCAAGATAAACTCAAACCTGAGTGACCCACTCACGACATGGTCATTCCTTTTTTTCCCCCTCTGTCTCTCCCTCCCTCCAGGTTATGGATGTGACGGGGATTATGATGATGGGTACTAGCCGCATCGTCCACCTGGCTCATCATTCCCAGCCGGCCTTGGAATCTGAAGTTTCTTCACTAACAGGAACCCAAAACAAGCTGCTAAGGATTGGACACAGGAGTAGAAGTTTACAGAACGCCATGCTGCTTTGCTCCAGTCAGGCTGAAGTTGGATGACCTGGTGGTCGGATGGTGGCGGAGCGTGGTTATAATGCTGCTCTTTTAACGGCCCACTGGATCGTTTGCAGGTTGGACTTGCAGGTTTGTGTTTTTTTAACCAGTGGAAACAACCTTTTAGGAAGATCCTCCTCCAGTGAGGCTGTTCTGGACTTGTTGCTCCTGTACTACATCTCTCCTGAGAGCTTCCATCCAGACCTGTGTTGGTTTTGTTTTGTGATTAGTTGTTCTCATTACCTTTTGGATGGAAGTTGAAACGGCCTCTTAGGTTGAAGACAATGTTCTCCAGGTCCATCGAGGCACAGGTATGGCAAAGTTTACAATTTTGTTTTCTAATTATTTGGGAATGGCCTTCCCCTATTTACTTTCTGCCGAAGCTGAAAGTAACATCTGATTTAGGTTCTACGTTGCTTCCAATATCCTTTGGAGGGCTCAGAAAGCTTTCAAATTAGAAGTTGGAAATACATTTTTGTTAATATATTTTGCGTGATGGAGTTTTGTTAGGGCTGAGATCTCTTTTTGAATGATTGCATGTTAAGGTTAGGATTATTTTTGCTGTATTGACAGAGCAGTATTCTTAAAGTGATGACTGTGATTATGTATGTATGTAGTACAGTAAAGACATCACTAACTGGGAAAACAAATGTTTGGGAGCCGTGCCTTTCTTCAAACGACTATAAAATCTCAGGGAGATGGTGGAGGAGATCGATCTTTTCACAGATTATCTGTCTCATGGCATACTGTCACAACATGGTGATCGTTTTAACAAATATTTTAAAAATGTTTTATTGCAAAGCTACTTACTATAACTTTCAATCATCTGACTCAGCTGAAAAAAAATCATATTTTGTCAAGATGTGGTTTGACATGCTTAGTTACAGTGACATAAAGTTAAATACTCATGGTTCACATTAACTGGGCTGGGCTTTCAGATCTAAAGGACCAGATATTCAACCCAACCAGACAAGAATAAAGACCAGAATAGGAGGAAAAAAATCTTTTCTCAGTGAGTTCTGCTCAATTAAACTGTTCTAAAAATTCAAGCTCTTTTTTTAACTCTGGGAAACAGAAGATTACCAAACTGTACAGGAAATTAAATCTAAAAATTTATATAGTCTCAGTCATTAACTCCTACCCAGAATATCCTCCTCAAATCCGGTCAAAGCCGGAATTGACTGGAATTGTTGAAGTGGCTCTCCTGAAAAAAGCCAAAGAGACAGTGTTTGGAAAGAGGAATACCTCAAATATAGCAATTTTCTTTTCCTACTCTTGTTTGGAAACCCGAGAATGTTTCGTCTGTGCAGTTGGAATAATTTGTCTAAAGCTGTTGATTATCATCAAATTTTGGTCCAAAATAGCAGCAAACATCTGGAGAAGTGACCCAAACCACAAACTCTTTGTTCCATTCCTCAGCTCAAGCAGAGGGTTCCCAGAGATCCCGGGACTTTTCCTCCGTCTTTGTGTTGTTTCAGATCAACCTGCTGTTCCCTCCCCTGTCGCCAGAGGGCAGTGTATGAATCATTCACACTGAGGATTTGCTGTTGACTGTGCTTTGTCATCAGAACAAATAAAACATTTCATTTTAATATGCTGACATTACTTTCCTCATTGCATACTCTTAAAAACATAACATGAACTTGATCTTATAAATAAACAGTCAGTGCTTTTATTGTTTCCACATCCTCAAACCATTACCTGCCTCATGTTGTTCAGTTCAGCACCACCCAGATGGAGGACGGAGGTGGAGTTAAAAGCAGCTCTGCTCTCCAGTGGAGCAGGTAAAACAGAAACAGGAGGCGCGACCCGCAGCAGCGGCTGCGTTCTCGCCGACCTCCGTTTTTTTCCCCTCCTTCATCTCAGATTCCTTTTCTCCTGTAACTGAGACAAAGACACAGAGATGTAGTTAGTCTTTTATTTCTTTACGTTGACCTGTTTGTAATAGTCTTGGGTGTTTCTAATTGATTTCAGTTCCTGTTTACATTTTCACAGAACGGTCAAAGAGCAAGTTAAATTCGAAAATGTATTCGTACTTTATCTTTTTCTTCCATACTAATTCAGACCTAGAAAATATTTATAATTGTACTCCACACTTTTCAAAACTACAAGCAAAACAAACTTTGGGAGACTTCCAGAAAATTCAGTGTTTCCTCCAAATGTAATGATTGTCATTATGGCCAAACGGTTTTATCAGACCACAGAACATCTCTCCAGAAATAGAGATCTACATCCCTGCATCTTTAAACTGGCTTTTTATGTTTCTTTTGAAGTAAAGATTTTCTCCTTGTTGAGCGGCTTTTCAGGCCACCTGGGTCCAGTTTGACTGTGGATAATGAATCTGTCTCACCAGTTTCAGCAGCATTTCCACAAGATGTTTGGCTTCTCTGTGGTCTATGAATTCATTTTGGACAAAAACCCATTTTCTAGGACACAGGACCTATCAAGTGACATATCAGAGGTTTTCTTCTGAATTTGAAGTTACAAAAAAACTTTTTGAGGAATGTTATAGCTAAGCTTTCTGACATTTAACAAATAGGAATTATTCTGTTCATTGTAACTTACCAAAAACAGGAGAAAGTTCTGATTTAACTTCAGATAGAAAGAAATGTTTTGTCTCTTGATCCTGTGAATGTAAACTTCTGGTTTCTACTGTATCTTCTGAAAGAAGAAAAAACCAAGTTTGGTATAATATTTGTGAGAATGTGTGTTCTGTAGCTACGTCTTCTCTGTACAAGGATTTATAAGTCCAGTTAACAGTCCACACAGAGTATCCACTCTGTAGGCGACTGGAGGTCAACCAGCAAAGTGAGTTCCTGATGAAACAGATTGTTGCATACATAAGCACACACATACACAAAAACATGAATCCAAAAATAAAAAAGACTTTAAACTCCTAATATAAGTCCTACCTTCTTGATGGGCTTAAAATTGACAGTGATGTTAGGACATACCAATTTCCAGTTTGAGAAATCGGTCTTAAATAAACTATAAAATTGGCTACATGAGTGTTGTAAAAATTCATGGATGATGTCTTCATAACTCAGTTTTCAAGGAAGACAGATTGTGTAAATATCCTGGATATTATTTAGGATTGTCCAAATTGTAATAAAAAGAGACAACTGGAAAGTTAATTAAATAATTAAATACAAGCATTAATTACACAGAAAATGTAAGAAAACATTTCAATAAAATAAAAAAACATGCAAATGAACACAATATAAGAAAATGACTAAAGAAAAATTAAATGTAGACAATGAAACGAGCATAAGAATATGAACATTATTTCAACTCACATTTTTGTATTTAATTTATTGTTGCGCATTTATTCTGTACAAAATTTAATCACTAAACAAATAAATACAGATGAATTTAGTTTTAAACATGATTTGCTTGTAACTATACGAAGCAAAAACATGAAGCAAAAAATATGCTGAAGCAAAAAAATATGGTGAAGCAAAAAATATGCTGAAGCAAAAAATATGCTGAAGCAAAAAAATATGCTGAAGCAAAAAAATATGCTGAAGCAAAAAAATATGGTGAAGCAAACTGTGGCGAAAACACCAGCGTGTTGATGGTTTATTTTTGGTTTCCAAGGTAACCCGGTAAACCCGCTCACTCCAACCAATGTTTGAAGTTAAGTTACATTGTCCAATCAGGAACCGTTTACAGTTTACGTGAAATCCTTCTCATCCAATGGCGTATAGCAACCTTCAAGCAACGTTCCCTCCCGCCTCCTAGGTTTATAATCCTCTGCTTGGAGTAGCGCACCAACTTTTGTCTGTTCGTGAAGGGTCACAAAGTCTTTTTGTCGACAAAATGAGGGAAATTGTTCATCTTCAAGCTGGCCAATGCGGGAACCAGATTGGAGCCAAGGTTAGAAAGTATTCATGCTTGAAATTTCGGCCTAAATTCGTTGAGATGCCGACTGAAAAATGACCTAGTTTGTGAGCGCTGCTAAATAATCAACAGCTTGCTCAGCAGGAAAAAAAGCTAGCGTAGCTGTTAGCAGAAAGGCTATCCCTAACTGTTGGCTTCAGTTGTTTTCAGTAAATCTCTCTGCTCAAATAGTTAATTTTATATTTTTCTTCTCTTTTCGGTTGTAGTTTTGGGAGGTGATAAGCGACGAACACGGTATTGACCCAACCGGGGTGTACCACGGGGACAGCGACCTTCAGCTGGATCGTATCAACGTGTATTACAACGAGGCCTCAGGTTGGTTCATAGTTTGCTTCATAGTTGTATACTATTACTTCAGTGGAGGTCCAAGTAATTCAATATCTCAAAGAAACATCTTTAGTACCACGACCGTCCACCAGAGGTCGTGGTACCAGAGGACCTGGCCTTCACGTCACTGGATTACCAGTTAGCTGTTGCTAACGGCTAGTTTTTAGCAACAGATAACCGGTTGCTCCAACGTTTCTCCCACATGTTGCGCACACTGGCTTTTATAACTGGAGAAAATAAATTATTAGTTCGGTTAATGGAGAAAATGTTTTTCTTTCTATTTTTTTATACTTTAGTACAATTTACTTTCGTCTCATGTAGGTGGAAAGTATGTCCCTCGTGCCGTTCTGGTGGACTTGGAGCCGGGCACCATGGACTCGGTGAGGTCTGGTCCTTTTGGACAGGTGTTCAGGCCTGACAACTTTGTTTTTGGTGAGTGTATTGCTTTAACATACTTATATTTTATTTACCTAGATCAGCCACACAAAACTGCAAGATTGTCAGTTTTTTGTATTTAACAAATCCACAGAGAAATATAAGCCTTAATGTTAAATATGATGCAGGTGAACTGGAAACAAGCTCATATTATTTCTGTTTTGAATGAGGCAGAAGGAAAGAGTCCTTTAAACTCAGTAATAGATCTAGTGTGGACCAGGAAGGGAAGGAAACATGAAACAGTCTGAAGGGAAAGCTCTCAATTCAAAGTTTAAGAAATCTGGATTGAAGATGAAGACATAAAACTAGTCGAATCTTACAGTGAACTTTGACCACTAAGTCGTGATAGTCCTAGTAGAAGTAAGTACTTATTCTCTACCTGGGTCTGTTCCAGGTCAGAGTGGTGCCGGTAATAACTGGGCTAAGGGCCACTACACTGAAGGAGCGGAGCTGGTGGACTCTGTGCTGGATGTGGTGAGGAAGGAGGCGGAGAGCTGCGACTGCCTGCAGGGCTTTCAGCTCACCCACTCCCTGGGAGGAGGCACCGGCTCCGGCATGGGCACGCTCCTCATCAGCAAGATCCGGGAGGAGTACCCGGACCGCATCATGAACACGTTCAGCGTGGTGCCGTCACCTAAGGTTTACATCCAGCATTCAAATCAGTTCAGATAAGGTTCTCTGCCTCATAGCTGCTTCCTCTGGGTCTTTAACTAGGGTCCTTTGTTCTCTGTAACCCCGCCCCCTCCTGACAGGTGTCAGACACTGTGGTGGAGCCCTATAATGCCACCCTGTCCGTCCACCAGCTGGTGGAGAACACTGATGAGACCTACTGCATTGACAACGAGGCGCTGTACGACATCTGCTTCCGTACGTTAAAGCTCACCACGCCCACCTACGGCGATCTGAACCACCTGGTGTCGGCCACAATGAGCGGCGTCACCACTTGCCTGCGCTTCCCCGGCCAGCTGAACGCTGACCTGAGGAAGCTCGCCGTCAACATGGTGCCGTTCCCCAGACTGCACTTCTTCATGCCGGGCTTCGCCCCGCTGACGAGCCGCGGCAGCCAGCAGTACCGGTGAAGACGCTCAGTCCACCTTAGATTAGGATCAACCTCACTGTTTTAGAAACTTCCTTTAACTGAAGGTCTCTCTTCCAGGGCCCTGACAGTCCCTGAACTCACCATGCAGATGTTCGACGCCAAGAACATGATGGCGGCGTGCGACCCGCGCCACGGCCGCTACCTGACGGTGGCAGCCATCTTCCGCGGCCGCATGTCCATGAAGGAGGTGGACGAGCAGATGCTGAACGTTCAGAACAAGAACAGCAGCTACTTCGTGGAGTGGATCCCCAACAACGTGAAGACGGCCGTATGCGACATCCCGCCACGTGGCCTCAAGATGGCCGCCACCTTCATCGGAAACAGCACGGCTATCCAGGAGCTGTTCAAGCGCATCTCGGAGCAGTTCACCGCCATGTTCCGCCGCAAGGCCTTCCTGCACTGGTGAGTCCAATGCAGCGATTCATCACGGCGTGCTGTACGTCACATAGACACTGACATTGTGTCGTCACAGGTACACCGGCGAGGGTATGGACGAGATGGAGTTCACCGAGGCAGAGAGCAACATGAACGACCTGGTGTCAGAATACCAGCAGTACCAGGAGGCCACGGCAGAGGAGGAGGGAGAGTTTGAAGAGGAGGGAGAAGAAGATCTGGCCTGAGCAGCCGCCATGTTGCATTTCCTCCTGATCTGCAGTTACAGTCAGGAAGCATCTAGGTCAAAACACTGAAGGTGTGCTAAACAGCAGCAGCTTTACTGCTTCTGAGATTGAAGGATATTTTTTTTCAGGTTCAACTTGAAACATGTTAGATTTTACATTAGAGCTATATCTGGAATATGCATATTTTAAATGTGTAAAACTGATACGACTTGTGATGTTAAAGTGTAACTAACTCATTAGAAAGCATTGAAACAGGCAGAGCCAAAAGACGGTCAGCCTGTAAATTTAACATATTTTGCTGGACGATAAATTGTCCCAGGAGTTATTGCGATAAACAATTCTATTCTTGCTTTGAGAGCATTTTCCAGTAATATGAGTCTGGCATAATAATGTAAGAAAACATTCAATAAACTTTAATTTTTAAAGAATATTTAACACTGGAACGGGAAGACATTTTAAATATTCAATATAAATAAAACATCCAAAAACTTGAAATAAAATGAATGCTGAAGTTTCTGTAAACAAAATTACCTTGAAATAAAACAGGCTAGTTGAGACCAAAGCACCAAACTGAAGACTTTTGTAGAAGGAGAAAAACAATCAATGTAAATGGAAATGATTGAGCTTGTTTTAATTTATCATGTGACAGATTGATTTACTTGGACAGGCTTGGTGAGCAGTGCTGTGGGCAGGATGACAAGCAGTTGACCTGTCCAGTTTCTTGCCTGTTTATTGTTTTGTTTGTTCCTCTGGTGGATTTTCCCTTCAACTCCTCAAAAATAACAACAACCTGAGCAACAACATTGTTTTACTTAGAACTAAACAAATCTATCATGTTTCTTGAAAATTATAACCCTAAATAACTTATTTAAACAATTAAGACAAGTAAGTTGATTTGGGTTAGTTACACTTTAAACCTCTGAGTTCTCTTCCTGTGAGCTGATTGGCTGTTGCTTTGCCGGTGGGTCTGTGTAGAACGGTTCCATTAGAAGTCAGAACCGACTCATGTTCACTGTTCATAGAACTTTCCTCCAAGCTGCTGGTTACTTCCTGTTACACTGACAAGTTCTACATAGATACTGAGGTTAGTCATTTTCTCTGGAAAACATTTAGGATTCGTTCACTGACTGCACTACAACACTGGAAATGACCATCAGTCTCTGTTACTTTTCTACTTTTGTTCATAGATTTGAAATAAACATTTTAAACTTGGTGCAGTATTTTTTGTCACTTACAGAAGCATAACAATATTTTTCACATTCTCCAGGGTTCTGGTGCCGTCAGTCCTTGCAGTCCCACAGGGTTCAGTCTGTTCAGACGGTTTGTTTAACCATCAGGAGTTGATTTGCTCCTGATTTGCTTTTAGATCAGCAGTGCTGTCAGTTTGTAGATGTCATATAATGATAAAAAAACAAATTGCCAGTCAAATGAACCATACAGGAAGATACATTTGACTCTGAAATGTAGTGAACTGATTTTATTTCCCTCTTGGCATTCATGAGTTTTAAATCTGTAATGAATGTAAGTACTTTTGAAACTTGACTTGTATTGAAAACTCAAGTCTGAGAAAATGCAGGAACATCAACTTTTAACAGTACAGTAACTACAGAGCCTGACCAGCATGTTCTACTGATCTGTTTTCTGCATGCAGACAGTAAACATAAAGCTGGACTGCAGGTTGATGGGGTCAGAATCACCCTGTTAAAAAAGCACAAGTCTTGACAAATCTAAAGACTCAACTATTTTACATTGCAGTTCATTTTTCATGTAGCGATGATTGGGATTCACCAAACTACTGATGATTTCTCTTTAGTACATCATCATTCAGCCTGTGAAACAAATTGAACTGTATTCTAGCCATTTAAAATAGTTATAATAGTTATAAGTTTTAAGGCTATAATAGGAGACACCATTTTAAATGAAATGTAAAAATAGTGATTTCATTTAAATGAAAGGGAAACATGGGGTGAAGTTTTCTTGTGAATCCTTCAGGTACTTTAAGAGGATCCTTCTGTGTGAATCGGCTCCATTGCTGTGAGAAAAATGACTGCAGAGATGAAAACAGGTGAAGCTTTGAAAGATCCAGAAAAAAGTTTTTAAAAAGTCTTCTCCTTACTGACACCTGGTGGCCACAAGTATGAAGAGCAGATTCCATGACTGATGGTGAGTCAGGTGGGCAGAGAGTATACTACTCTAACTCTTTATAGTAAGAGTACTACAAAGTTGTTTTACAGTAGTAAAAGTAAAAAGAAGTCAATTTAGTATTTTAAAATGATATAATCAGACATACATAAATACTGATGTGCAAATTCTGGTGGCTAACAGACCAAAATGGAATAAAAATACAAATGAGTGACATCTTATGTAAACAAGAAATGTAGTCAGAAAAAAACACTTTTCCAAAAAATGTTTTATATATATTAAACTTCTGAAACCATTTCTTACAGTAGGCTATGAGTAAATATGTTAGGATCAAATTCTTCCAGTGACTATTTGGTGTTTACTGTATTTTCTTGACCTAAAGCCTAAAGCACTAACATTAAAACAACAAAGCTAATTAATGAACGAGATGTTTCACTTTGACATAAACTGTTGTTTCTGTGTCTCGTACATTTTATTTAAAACGAACCTTTTCTTCTTTCAGTGATGTTTCTCACACTGACTAACATCCTGGAATTATTGATACTTATGTTAACATTCCTCAAGTGCAAGTAAAAAATAAGGTTTATTAAAACTGCTCCCCAAAGTCAATTGTTTCCAAAAAGTTACTCAAGTAACCGTAACTGTGACCAACAGATTCTCTGCAGCTCCTCCCTGGTTACCATGGTTTGTCCCTTCAGTCTTAGTGGACCTCCACCTCCTGTGAGGTCTGCAGCTGCTCCACCCTTTCTCCATGTTCAGATGTATTGATCAGAGATTTGTTCATGTTGTTCCAGATCCTAACCCTGATTTAAACGTCTCCATGTTGCTGTTTGTTCTCTAATATTCTCTATCAAACATCTGAGGCCAGAAACACAACAGCTGGATTCAGTAATTATGTGACACCAGTGGCTTGTTCTGGATCTTATTTCAGGTTATCTGAATAAAGGGATCATAATTACAGTTGAGTATTCATTTGTTGTTTTGCCTATTTCATGCATGACCAGAGGATTTATGGTGAGCCCTCCTCTCTCCACCCTGGAATGTTCTGCTGCTGGATTACTGGGTTAAAGCTGCTGGACTGGCTTATCTAGAACTTCTGGCTTCAACATGAGGTCTGCTGCTCTGTTCCTGCTGATGCTCTGCAGCTCCGTTGGCGAAGGCCGAGCCGAGATCTCTGCTCCCGCAGATGATGGCACCAGGACCGAAGCACGTCCCCCCAGAGACCTGAGCGTCCTCTGGGAAGAGGTGCAGGGCCTGAAGCAGCTGGTCCTCAGTCTGAAGGGGGAGCAAGTGGAGCAACGACAAGAACTCCGGACTGTGGAGAGTCGGCTGAGGGACGGGGAGATGGAGGCAAAGCTGCAGAAGCAGAGCATGGATGAACTGCAGATGGCGCTAGATCTCCTGCTGACAGAGCAGACTTCTGGTCTGAGGAAGAAGGAGGCAGAGCTGGAAGAGCAGACCAAAGGTCAGACTTGTTGTGTTTCCTGTTCATGTGCTTCATTAACCTCATCATCCTGTTGGCTGATCATAGAGGTGATGAGGAGATGAGCAGCTCAGTGCATAAAACTGATAAAATACCTTACTCCATCACAGCAGGTTAGTTAGATAACAAAATATTTCAAAACTTGATGGATCCGTCTCTCAGGGGTCGTGACAAGCTCTGATGTTTCCCGCCTCGTTTGCTTCTCTTAGCTGAGATATCAGAGCTTCAGTCCAGAATGAGCCGCAGTGAGAACTCAGTGGAGATCCTGGAGAAGAAAAACTCCGGTGAGTCCCAGGAAAACCAAAAAGCTGCTGGTGTGTGTCTGCAGCGCTGAGCGCTGAGGTGCTGCTGTCTCCACAGCTGTTGCGGCTGAGCTGCCGTTCCTGCAGACCAGACTGAGGGCCAGTGAGAGCAGAGTGGAGCAGCTGAGGAGGAAGGACGCAGGTCATCATCCTCCTCTCACACACCTTCATCACTTCTCTGGGTTCAGTACAGAACTCTACTGAAGTGTTCATGCTAACTGACCTCATCCACATTTCCTCATGTTCTGACCACAAACATTAATTAGGCCAACAGCAACAAAACCATCATTTAAAAACTGTTGAAAATCTAAAAGTCGTGACATGACCTGCGTTTCCAATAAACACAGAGCTGCGCAAACTGAAACTACAAACCTGAATTTGCTTTATGGAAACACAATCATTTTGAAAACGTTCAGGTTTTTTGGTCACATTAAATTGATTTATTTTTCATTTGTTTCCCCCATTACACAAGTAACGTGATCAACAGCTGGATGTTACAACTGGAGAAAACGTCGAAGAAGACAACAGGAAGTTAAAAAACAACAACAGGAAGTTACAAAAAACAACAGGAAGTCAGGGAAGGAGGATCAGGTGTTGTCTTACTGGATCAGATATCTCATAGCATCACCCAGTTAATAAAAAGTGATGTCATTCTGAAGTGTTGCATCCATAACTCTTCTATAAAAACAATGACACTGCAGTATTTTTTAAAAACACCACAGAAGAAGAAGGAGAACATTCTGCCCAGATGATTTATGACAAACACAATAATTTGATTTCATATTTGCAGAAGAGGACATAGAACAACTTTCTCTGCTCTGCTGCAGTAAATCCTCCACAGATTCACTTTAAACTCAAGGAAAGTTTAACTGGGACAAATGAAAATATCATGACATTCCATTTATTTCTGTATCAATGTCAATATACTTTATCAATGAGGTCCACTTAACTCTCAGGTTTTCATTGCAATCAGAATTTAATCAATTAAACTTAAAGTTGAAGTTCTTAATATTAATAATTGTCACTTTGTCGCCATTATTTTTCGCGTTGTTTTATTCATAATTCATTTTATTTGTGAAAACAAAAAACAGATGCAAGGTAAGGTTTTGTTTTTTTCTTGAAATAAGACAAAGACTAACTGAAAAACTTGCCACATGTTCTGAGTTGGTCGGGTCAGTAGAATGTGATCCAGTGGATTCCGTCCTGCTGTCAGTGACCTGCATGTTGCTGCTCTCAGTTCTGACAGGCAGACTGTGCAACACGGAGAGTCTGATGGAGGAGCTGATGGGGCAGATCTCAGGTCAGGCTGCTCCTCACACTCTTTGTGCTCTGGTTCATTCTTAGATTCAGCTCAGGATGTTTGTGGGTCTGGAAATCGTAGCTGGTTAGCATGTTTTCCTGAAGTTGTCTCGGTTCTGTTGCAGGAGTCTTGAATAATAATCTTCAGCTCAAAGTCAATTCTGAAGCCAGTTTGATTCAAACGTTTGAGCTTCATCTCGAACCGTCAGCTGCAGGAATCACAGTAGAAGTATTCAGTTTGGATGGAGGGCGTCTGTGAACGTCAGATTTTAAATTTTGGTGCAGATTCTCAGTCGGATTTATGTTTGAACTTTGACTAGGCCCTTCCAGCATGTCAGTATTCTTTGATCAGACTCAAGGAACGTAATCAACAGCCGCTTTCTTATTTGTGAAGAAAATGTGAAAAGCGTTTTGCTCTCACTTCACCAACTTATATGAGCAACTTAGTGTTCGTCTGTCACATGAAATCCCTGTAAAATACATCAAAGCTCATGACTTTAATGTGACAAAATGTGAAAAGTGGAGCTGGAACAGTTTGAATGCTCAGAGTAGAAAAGGAAGGTGTCTGTCAGGAGTCACTGCAAGCTTCTGTGTTGAAATAAAAAACATTGGTCAGGTTTCCTTCTCTCCCAGAAATCCAGGCCTGCAACACTTCAGCTGGGATGGAGTCTGAAGTTCTGGTGCTGGACAGTCACCTGAACATCCAGCTGGACGCGCTGAAGGCCGACATTGAAGGTACCTGTCAGGCTTCTGGGTCCAACATGTTGGAAGACATTATACTGAGAGCACATGATGTCACTCCATCAGCCTCTGACACAGTGATGTACAGACTTAGATCAGCAGGTTAAACCCACAGCAGCAGCAATGAGCTCAGAGTTTCACCACATCCAGGTTCCTGCAGTGAAGATGTTTATCAGTCAAAGCTGCTGGAAACGGGCATGACGCTTTGATGGAAACGCCAGATGATCCTGGAAGGCTAATCTGCTAGCCAGAGCTAAGCTACTGACCTCTAGATGACCTCTGACCCACTCCGGTTAAAAATCCAACATGCTTACAATAATTCAACTAGAACTGCGTTGTTTTATTCATAATTCATTTTATTTGTGAAAACAAAAAACAGATGTAAGACATGAAATGAGACAAAACTGACTGAAAAATGTATTAGTAATTAATACAAATTTATTACTAATAAATTAGTAATTACATTACTAATACATATTACTTTTATATTAACAATATAATAGTATTTATATTATTAGTTTTCTAGTAATATAAATGCATTTGTTGTTCATAAATATAGATTAAAACATACTGGCTCCTCAGGTTGATGGTTTCACTCATAACAAGACATTTTTTTCCTGTTGTAAGTTAAAATAAAAGCTCCCGGTGGAACTAGTCCTTCATAAATCTATATTTATAAATCTATATTTATAAATTTATATTTATAAAGGTTATTGACGTATTCTCTGCTTTGACTGCAGTGAAACTTCTTCACTGCATCATCAACATTTCAGCTCTGCTGGTTCTCAGGAAAAATTGGCTGTTTCATGTGACTCTTTTTCTTTCCAGGTCAGATTCATGAGTTGGAAAACAAAGTGACGTCCAGTCGCCTGCGTCTGGACGACCTGAGAGCTGCTGCTGGTCAGAGCGTCCAACAACCAGCCACATGATCAGGTTCTTTTTGTTCTGCCCATTAACACCAACTGAACTGTTTGCTGCAGAGCATCGCCTGAACGCAGCCCAGAGACAACAGGATGAACTCAGGAACCACAACACAGGTCAGCTGCACTTTGACCCCACCCACTGACCCAACATACAGGACATTACAGTAATCCAGCCTGGATTACTGTTGCCTTCAAAGATCAGATCTATACGCCAGTCGTCCTGTTTATCACTTAGTTAAATGAATTTAATTATGATTTTAGTCGTTTTGATTGTAGATGTTCTTCAGGTTGGAGTTTTTTTAAACCTGAAACTTTCATTTCAGAAGTGAAATGAAGGAAAGCTGATGTGAGAACATTACAGGAAAGTTTCTGTTTTAAAAGGAAGTTAATAAACTCTAGAATAAACAAAAGGGAGTCAACAAAAGAGTCCTGGGACGCTTTCAGGTCCGACGACCGAGAGACGAAAAGGAAACTATTTTTGTTGCTGTTGTTGTTGTAGAGTTGGTGAGGAGACTGGAATCCAGTGAAAAACAGCTGGAAGATCTGAAGACATTGAGCACATGTATGATGTTTACTTTCATGAAAACAAAACTTATTTTAAAAACAAGTTGAAAAATTGAATAGAAAAGAAAAGGCAAATTTGTTGTGCAGTCATGGAGACCAGACTGGGATCTACTGAGGAACAACTGGACCAGTTAAAGAACCAGTCTGCAGGTACCATCAGCAGGTCTCATGTTTGCTTCTGTTCATCCTCGGTGAAACCATGAAATGAATGAATGAATCCTGTTCAGTTCTGGAGGTCAGACTGAGCGTCAGTGAGAGACGGCTGGAGGAGCAGGAAACACGGAGATCAGGTAATGTGAGACTTTTCTGTCGCTCATTTCAAACATGAACGACTGACTGCTGCTTCATTCAGCTGACATCCTGGTCCAACTGGACTCCACTGAGGCTCAGCTGGTCCAGTTGAAGAACCACACATCAGGTACTAACGTTAGTGCTTTACATGGGTTTTGTTCGGTAGCTAATAAACATTCTGAGACATTTATTATGTCTCATTTATTTATTATGTCCTGCTCAGTTCTGGAGTTCAGACTGAGAGTCAGTGAGAAGAACCTGGAAGACCTGAAGACGGAAAACTCAGGTAACAGGAAGGCCGACTGGATGTTTACAACCATGCTCTCTGTTTAGATCCCCATATTATGATATCTTACTTTTTATTAAGAATCCAACTAACGAATGGGTTAAAGGTCAGACTGAGAGAACGGCTGATTAATGTCAGAAATCAAAATGTTTCAAATGACATGAACGAAGCAAAATATCTGTAAGCTTTTTTGATGAACATAAAAACAAATCTTAACACAGTTCTCTTGATGGAAGAAAATATTATTATTTATTATGTCATGTTTTTGGAGGTTTACATGGAAACATTCAATCTGATTATGATTCAGAAGGCTCTGATGTGATAGATTATAAAATAATTATTGATGGAACATTAAACCCGTCACTGTTTACCAAACATCACCGCCGCCAGCCAACAAACACCAAAACATCACAATTTTCTTCTTCGTTTTGGAAATCAGATCATCGAGACACGAAGCTGTTGAAATGTAGAACTCAGACCTACAGAACAGAGAGAGCAGAAACTCTGGAAAACTGACTGGCTCAGATTCCCAACATGTCCTAAAATATAGTTAGAAATCTGTAAACTTGTTTGAAGGAAACGAAGTGATCCAATAATGTGGAACTGAACTCTCTGCTGATGGTTTGTGTTCAGAGCTGGAGAAACGACTGAGGATCAGAGAAACACAGCTGGACGACCAGAAGACAACAAGCACAAGTACTAATAGATGTTTACTGTCAAAAATAAATAAAATTGTTAAATCAAAAATCTGATCTGATCTGTAGTCATGGAGACCAGGCTGGGATCTACTGAGGAACAACTGGACCAGTTAAAGAACCAGTCTGCAGGTACCATCAGCAGGTCTCATGTTTGCTTCTGTTCATCCTCGGTGAAACCATGAAATGAATGAATGAATCCTGTTCAGTTCTGGAGGTCAGACTGAGCGTCAGTGAGAGACGGCTGGAGGAGCAGGAAACACGGAGATCAGGTAACGTGTGTTATGTCTTTGTTCATGTTTTTACAATTGCAAATAAAAATAATAACGGCACATATTTCTGAAAAGTGAGCCAGGTCTTAACACAAGTTTGACTGTAGAATAAAACTGAAGGATCCAACAATGGTTCCTGGAGGAACTCCTTCCTCACGGTCAGTTTTTTGTCCAGAACTGGAGAGCAGACTGAGATCTAGAGGAAAACAACTGGAGGACCAGAAGACAACAATCACAGGTTCCAGAGGACGCTGAGGGACTTGAAGCACAATAAACATGGAAATGAAGTCGACATATTAAATCCATGAGTAAAACCTGTTCTGTTCTGCAGAACTGGAGACCAGACTGGGATCTACTGAGGGACAACTGGACCAGTTAAAGGACCAGTCTGCAGGTGTGCTGAGTGAAATAATGGCAACTGAAGCTCAATGAAAGAAGCTTAAAGCTGATTTGTTATTGGAGATTCGACTCGGATCAACTGAGGGAAAACTGGAGCAGCTGGAGAACCACACAGCAGGTACCATCATCATCATCATCATCATCATCATCATCATCATCATAGAGAACTTCTCCAGTCAGTGGCAGCAGCTCTTGATGCTGATGATGATTTGTTGCCATTCCAATCATATTCCTTAAAAATGATCTCAAAACAACAACAATATTATAGTTTATCATCATAACTTCTGGGACTGTTTATGATCCAATAAAATTATTATTGTGACAGGAATAATGACAGTTCATCACAGTTAAAGCTCAGCCAATAGCAGCCAAGGAGACAGACAGACAGACAGACTGAACACACAGACAGACAGCAGACAGACAGAACACAGACAGACTGACAGACAGACTGAACACAGACAGACACAGACAGACAGGATCAACATTTCCTCTGCTGAAGGAGAACATTAAGTTGTTTTCTAATTGCCCCCCAATTTAATACAATATAATAATTAATGGCTCTAGTGTTATTTTCAGTTCAGTTCTCCCAGATGGAGTCCAGACTAACTGATGGATTGAACAGAGCAGCAGGTCAGTCACATTTTTTTCCTCATCATTTGGTTTCAAATCATTGACCTCACTGGTTGCTAACAGCATGCTAACACAACTACATCAACTTGTTCCATTAGATGAAGTATTAATTCAGTCTGGCGGTTCAGTTCAGTCATGATCAGTTGATGACTTCACAGAGAAGTAAAGCTTAAAACTCTGAAGTAGTTTTTAAATGAAACTCTGCAGAGTTACAAATGAAACTGGATGATCCAAAAAGTTTCTTGTGTTCAGGGTTGATGAGGCGAATCGATGAAAACAACTGGAAGATCTGAAGTTCAGTAACTCGAGTAAGACTCTTCTAAGTTCTGCTGAAGGCAACTCAAAATGTCATCGTATTAAAATGAATCAAATCTGATCTGATCTGTAGTCATGGAGACCAGACTGGGATCTACTGAGGAACAACTGGACCAGTTTAAAGAACCAGTCTGCAGGTACCATCAGCAGGTCTCATGTTTGCTTCTGTTCATCGGTGAAACCATGAAATGAATGAATGAATCCTGTTCAGTTCTGGAGGTCAGACTGAGCATCAGTGAGACGGGCTGGAGGAGCAGGAAACACGGAGATCAGGTAACGTGAGACTTTTCTGTCGCTCATTTCAAACATGAACGACTGACTGCTGCTTCATTCAGCTGACATCCTGGTCCAACTGGACTCCACTGAGGCTCAGCTGGTCCAGTTGAAGAACCACACATCAGGTACTAACGTTAGTGCTTTACATGGGTTTTGTTCGGTAGCTAAATAAACATTCTGAGACATTTATTATGTCTCATTTATTTATTATGTCCTGCTCAGTTCTGGAGTTCAGACTGAGAGTCAGTGAGAAGAACCTGGAAGACCTGAAGACGGAAAACTCAGGTAACAGGAAGGCCGACTGGATGTTTACAACCATGCTCTCTGTTTAGATCCCCATATTATGATATCTTACTTTTTATTAAGAATCCAACTAACGAATGGGTTAAAGGTCAGACTGAGAGAACGGCTGATTGTTCCCTTTGTCAGATTAATGTCAGAAATCAAAATGTTTCAAATGACATGAATGAAGCAAAAATATCTGTAAGCTTTTTGATGAACATAAAAACAAATCTTAACACAGTTCTCTTGATGGAAGAAAATATTATTATTTATTATGTCATGTTTTTGGAGGTTTACATGGAAACATTCAATCTGATTATGATTCAAAGGCTCTGATGTGATAGATTATAAAATAATTATTGATGGAACATTAAACCCGTCACTGTTTACCAAACATCACCGCCGCCAGCCAACAAACACCAAAACATCACAATTTTCTTCTTCGTTTTGGAAATCAGATCATCGAGACACGAAGCTGTTGAAATGTAGAACTCAGACCTACTTCTGTGGGTCTCTGGAAAACTAACTGGCTCAGATCCCAACATGTTCTAAAATATAGTTAGAAATCTGTAAACTTGTTTGAAGGAAACGAAGTGATCCAATAATGTGGAACTGAACTCTCTGCTGATGGTTTGTGTTCAGAGCTGGAGAAACGACTGAGGATCAGAGAAACACAGCTGGACGACCAGAAGACAACAAGCACAAGTACTAATAGATGTTTACTGTCAAAAATAAATAAAATTGTTAAATCAAAAATCTGATCTGATCTGTAGTCATGGAGACCAGGCTGGGATCTACTGAGGAACAACTGGACCAGTTAAAGAACCAGTCTGCAGGTACCATCAGCAGGTCTCATGTTTGCTTCTGTTCATCCTCGGTGAAACCATGAAATGAATGAATGAATCCTGTTCAGTTCTGGAGGTCAGACTGAGCGTCAGTGAGAGACGGCTGAGGAGCAAACCGGAGATCAGGTAACGTGTGTTATGTCTTTGTTCATGTTTTTACAATTGCAAATAAAAATAATAACGGCACATATTTCTGAAAAGTGAGCCAGGTCTTAACACAAGTTTGACTGTAGAATAAAACTGAAGGATCCAACAATGGTTCCTGGAGGAACTCCTTCCTCACGGTCAGTTTTCTGTCCAGAACTGGAGAGCAGACTGAGATCTAGAGGAAAACAACTGGAGGACCAGAAGACAACAATCACAGGTTCCAGAGGACGCTGAGGGACTTGAAGCACAATAAACATGGAATGAAGTCGACATATTAAATCCATGAGTAAAACCTGTTCTGTTCTGCAGAACTGGAGACCAGACTGGGATCTACTGAGGGACAACTGGACCAGTTAACGACCTGCAGGTGTGCTGAGTGAAATAATGGCAACTGAAGCTCAATGAAAGAAGCTTAAAGCTGATTTGTTAAGCAGACATGGAGATTCGACTCGGATCAACTGAGGGAAAACTGGAGCAGCTGGAGAACCACACAGCAGGTACCATCATCATCATCATCATCATCATCATCATCATCATCATAGAGAACTTCTCCAGTCAGTGGCAGCAGCTCTTGATGCTGATGATGATTTGTTGCCATTCCAATCATATTCCTTAAAAATGATCTCAAAACAACAACAATATTATTGTTTATCATCATAACTTCTGGGACTGTTTATGATCCAATAAAATGTATTATTGTGACAGGAATAATGACAGTTCATCACAGTTAAAGCTCAGCCAATAGCAGCCAAGGAGACAGACAGACAGACAGACAGACAGACAGACAGACAGACAGACAGACAGACAGACAGACAGACAGACAGACAGACAGACAGACAGACAGACAGACAGACAGACAGACAGACAGACAGAACACAGACAGACAGACAGACAGGATCAACATTTCCTCTGCTGAAGGAGAACATTAAGTTGTTTTCTAATTGCCCCCCAATTAATACAATATAATAATTAATGGCTCTAGTGTTATTTTCAGTTCAGTTCTCCCAGATGGAGTCCAGACTAACTGATGGATTGAACAGAGCAGCAGGTCAGTCACATTTTTTCCTCATCATTTGGTTTCAAATCATTGACCTCACTGGTTGCTAACAGCATGCTAACACAACTACATCAACTTGTTCCATTAGATGAAGTATTAATTCAGTCTGGCGGTTCAGTTCAGTCATGATCAGTTGATGACTTCACAGAGAAGTAAAGCTTAAAACTCTGAAGTATCAGTTTTAAATGAAACTCTGCAGTTACAAATGAAACTGGATGATCCAAAAAGTTTCTTGTGTTCAGGGTTGATGAGGCGAATCGATGAAAAACAACTGGAAGATCTGAAGTTCAGTAACTCGAGTAAGACTCTTCTAAGTTCTGCTGAAGGCAACTCAAAATGTCATCGTATTAAATCCATGAATCAAATCTGATCTGATCTGTAGTCATGGAGACCAGACTGGGATCTACGGAGGAACAACTGGACCAGTTAAAGAACCAGTCTGCAGGTACCATCAGCAGGTCTCATGTTTGCTTCTGTTCATCCTCGGTGAAACCATGAAATGAATGAATGAATCCTGTTCAGTTCTGGAGGTCAGACTGAGCGTCAGTGAGAGACGGCTGGAGGAGCAGGAAACACGGAGATCAGGTAACATGTGTTATGTCTTGTTCAAAATAAATTTGAAATAAAAATCACTCCCTGGTAACTTTACCAAGCCTATGATAAATAAAGTTTTTAAATTCACATATTTCTGAAAAGTATGACCACAAAATGGTTCCTGAAGGAAACTCATTTGTAACGGTGAGTTTTCTGCTTAGAGTTGGTGAACAGCCTGAGATCCAGAGGAAAACAGCTGGAAGATCTGAAGATGTTAGACACACGTATGATGTTTACTTCATTGAAAATGAAACTCATTTTACAAACCAGTTGAAAAATTTAAGATATAAGGAAAAGCTAAATTATTCTGTAGACATGGAGACCAGACTGGGATCTACTGAGGAACAACTGGACCAGTTAAAGAACCAGTCTGCAGGTACCATCAGAGAGGATGTTGGTAAATGTGATCAGTTAAAATGACTGAAGTTGATGAGTTTTGTTTTAAATCAATATTTCTTGCTTTTCCACCAGCAGATTTTAATTCATCTCTGCTTTGCTTTAAACTCCTTGTGATTTTCAGTTCAGTTCTCCTGGATGGAGTCCAGACTGACCAATGAACAGCGCAGGACTGCAGGTCAATCACACTTTCACAAATCATTTGATTAATAAATCATTTTGATTACTGTTTTATTATTATTATTATTATTATTATTATTATTATTATTATTATTATTATTATTATATTATTATTATTATTATTATTATTATCTTTGGGCTCTAAGTCACAGAAGTTTGCAGATTTATAGTTCTTAGTTATTTTAATTTTAAGACATTTGAGAAAACATTCTGTGGACTGATGAGACAAAGGTGGGACGTGTTGGAAGGTGTGTGTCCAGGAATCCTAAAAGTATATTAAAAAGTCTGCAATTCATATCTAAAATTTAGGCAGTAGATTTATTTTTAAAAAGTAAGTTGGTCTTTGATACGTTAACCACAGGTCTTAAATTTTGTTGCGACATGAACATTTAATGGTTTCTATTCAATGTATTTTTTTCCTGTGGGATTTTTCGATCAGTCGCTCTCAGACGTTTTGCTTGATAATTCGCTTTTTTGCATCTATCATGAATGAGTGCAAACTTATCAGCACAGATCCAGGTCTTAAATTCTGTTCATAATGATCTTAAAAAGTCTTAAATTTGACTTGGTAAAACCTGCAGGAGTTTAGGCAGTTAACGGACCGCTGTGATTCTAAACATCATCACACATTTTAATGAGTCAGACGATAGTAACATTGATTTATGATAAATTATTTTTCAGAGTTTGAAACCCAGCTGTCAGCTGTGACTTTCAGACTGAACGTGACTCAGGAGCTTCTGGATGAGCTGAAGAAACAAAGTCTAGGTGACTGATAATTACAGATGTTTTTATAGCAATTTTGTTTTTCAGTCCATTGTGCCTGGATGAAGAGTTTTGTGTTTTATATGTCAGCTGGAGCAGCTGAACTGGCTTCACTTTCAGAGAGACTGACTGCAGCTCAGGGGAACGCAGAAGGTAAATCCTCTTGAGACATTCAGACTAAATGAAAAGATAATGAAGATGAAACTCTTCAGCTCTGATGTCGACACTGAACCAAACATGGAGAAGCATCATTCAGCTTCTTAGCGCCTCAAATCTGGGACCAACTTCCAGAAAACTGAAAAACAGCTGAAACACAGAGTTCCTTTACATTCAGGCTGAAAACATCCCAGTTCGGAGCTGAACCATTTGAACTGTAACAACTGGAAAATCCACCAACCAGTATATGTGATGTGTGTTGATTGTTAATGACAAAATGTCAAATCTGCCATTGGTTTTCACAACTCCTGACAATATGATGTTTATGACTTAAAGCACTGGAATGGCTGCATTTTGCTGTACAAATAAATTTGATTGATTGATTGATCACTGAGGCTCCAACATGTTTCTTCCAGATGAGGTGAAGGTGGCGTTTTCAGCCGGTCTTACTGATTCAGGAATAGTCGGTCCATTTGATGAAGAAACGACTCTGATCTTCTCCAAAACCATCACCAACGTGGGCCGAGGCTACAACAACTCTGCAGGTAGCAGGAGGACCGTCTCTGTAAACGCTGTGTGTGGCTGCAGGGCAGAAAACTGATGAATGAATGTTGCTGCTGCTGCTGCTGCAGGTGTTTTCACCGCTCCAGTCACAGGACTTTATTTCTTCAGCTTCACGGCCGCAGATTACCTGAAGGGTTACATGGGCCTGTACCTTTACAGGAACGAGCAGCCAGTCACCTTCAGCCTGGACCTGAATGACCATGGAGGATACACCTCCATGACCAGTGCAGTGGCCCTGCAGCTGGACCGGGGCGATCGGGTCCGTCTCGCTCTGCCAGCCAGCTATCGGCTCTATGACGACTCCAGAAACTTCAGCGTGTTCTCAGGTTTCCTGCTGTTCCCGGTCTGACCCGTCCAGCTGGTCAGGAGCAACATGGAGTCTTCATTCAGGCTGAAATAAAAGTTGATTTCTTTGGTCAGTGGAAAGGATTCCATGGTTCCATTTTGAACAAACTCAACTCTCACCAGGCAGATGATCCACATCTACATTATGACTCTAAACCAGGGTGTTCTAGTCGACCTCTAGTCGACATCCTGCAACTTCAAGAAGCATCTTTACTCCAACAGACCAGGATCAACTCTGAACAGACCTGCAAACGATCCATTCATTTCATTCAGGTGTGCTGGAGCAGGGACGCATCTGAACACTGCAGGACGGTAGCACTCAAGGATTGGACTAGACGACCCCTCAAAGCCCATCGAGCACTGAACACATGCTTGGAACAAATCAATGGTTTGTTTTTCTTCCTTAATAATAAACACCTTCATTTAAACTGCATTTTGTTTTTGTGTTGTCTTGATGGGCTGCACAGTGGAGCAGTTGGCAGCATTGATGCCTTCCAGCCAGAAGGTCCTGGGTTCAATTCCTGGCCCGGGGTCTTGTTCTCCCTGTGCATGTGAGGGTTTTCTCTGGCTTCCTCACACAGTCCAAAAACATGACTGTCCGCTTAATTGGACCCTCTAAATTCTCCTTAAGTGTGTGTGTGAATGGTTGTTCGTCCTGTGTTGGTGACCTGTCCAGGGTCAACCCCATTTCTTGCCTGAAATGTTTGCTGGAGACACCAGCACCCACCAGACAAGGGTGTATGAAAATGTAAGGATGGATAATGTCTTCATATCTTAACTGGTTTCATGTTGTAAACAAAAGAAAATCAATGAGATGACTCCATTTCTCTACATTTCTGAAGATGTGCTTTGACACATAGAGCTGTTTGTGTTTATTTGAAAGAATGAATCTACAATCTAACGACGTGGAAAAAGTGAGCGATCCCGATTTCTGATGCCGCTGCGTGTTTGTGTTGTGGCACAGTCAAAGTAAAGAGCGAAGAGTTAAAAAAATAAAAATAAAAAAAGGAGAGAAGATGAGAGATAAAATGTGAAACTTTTATTAAACGTGACAAAAAACAACAGAAAACAGAACTCTCAAAGTCCCCCAGCTCTGACCTGACAAAGCCCCGTAAAAGGTGAAGAAAGGTGCATTAAGGCTCAGATCAAGACTTCCACCTTAAGAATTCTAAAAACACTCCGGTCTCTGTGGGCCGGAGTCAGTAGTGTAACAGCTCATCAATAAATACAAAGTGTTATTTGTTCGCTTCAGGAATCATGCAGATGCAGGAACATTTACATCAATCAAGTCTGGACAAAGTATTGCTCTTTGATCGCTGGTTTTCACTTCCTCCTACTTTACAGTAAGCAATCGTCTGCAAGAGCTTCAGACAGACTTTAAAGGTCCTGGTAATAAAACAAAAACAATCTAAAAATGTGTCCAAAAGATAGTTTGACACTGTTTCTGGGGTCAGCTGGCGATCAGGAGGTAGAGTTGTCATTCACAAAGCAGAGAGAGAATCCTTCAGGTCCCATCTCCTCTGGTCGACGTGTAAACAAGTGCAAAAACTGAGCCCCACGTTGGCCCCCCGCTGTGCTTTCTGTGTGACAAAAACGCACTGAATGTTCAGGAGAAAAAAACTGAGTGCAGGATGAATGAGGAGGTGAAGTGGTGAGTGAGGCTGCAGCTGTAAGGTTCACTGAACAGTGTCAGACAAGGAGGAATTAAAAAAATGTAAGGTATTCAAAAGTAGGGAGAAAAAAGTAGTTTGAGTTTAATGTATGGAGTGGAAGCAGCTCAGGTGGAGGTGTTGATCTTCCTGTTGACGGCCTGTAGGAGGAGCAGTGAGTACTCCTCAAGTAGAGCTGCTGTCTTCACCTCCCCCACCCCCCTAAGACCCCCATCCAGCGCCTGCATACTGGGCGAGCCCAGAGGGAGAGCGTCCAGCTCCGCCCTCATGGCCTGGAAGGCCTCTGATAGGAGGAGAGACATCTGACACTGGCTGGGGGAGGAGTCATCTGCCGAGGAGCCGCTTACCTGGAACAACAACAATCTACATGTTAACGTATGAAACACTGTAAAATCACGAAGCCTTACCAAGTATTTATGGTCTAGTTTCTAGTGCAAGTATCTTAGTTTCCTAGAAATAAGACAAAGCAAAATTACAAGTACCTTTTCAGCAAGATGTAGAAGCTTGTTTAAGTGAATAATTCTGTCAAATTTATTAAAGAAAACTACCAGATCCACTGGCAGATTATTTCACTTATAATAAGATATTATTCCCATGTTATAAGTGAAAAAATTAAGGTTTCACCAACAGCAGTCTTCCGATTACAGACTTTAAAAATGTCTAACCTGTTGATTACAAGTTTGGTGATTTTGTTTTTGTCTGAATGTCACTAAATGCAGCAAGAAAGTCTCTGAGTTGGTCCAGAAAAAAGTCAGAAGAGCAGGTGACTGAAATCAGGAGATTTTCAGCTTGATCAACCCTGATGATGACTTAAACATACACAACGTAAAAACCAAGAGAGGGTCACATTCACAACACTCTTCCTTATGCACAATATTATTGTGTTCTTTGTAAAAAAAAGACTCCAATTTAGCTATTTTCTGTAAACTGCCAAACTTTATTTTCTACACTATGTCGACAAACGGCTGTGATTCATTCATGGGAACACAGAGCAAAACTTTTAGTTGATAATAAGAAGGCTGAGTGCCGGGTGGCAAAGTTGGCAAAGTTTATCATTTTTTGAGAAAAAGTGTGAACAATAAGACCTTTTTAAAATCAAACCGTAGCTGAGAGACTTTGGGCAGATAACAGGAAGGCTGAAGATGTGCTCTGGTAGAGGGAATTAAGATGACAAAATAATGTAACTTGACCTGCAGCAGGACTAGCAGAGGAAAGCAGACAGTCTGAGCAGCAAATGATCATCACCTTCCTGTACAGATGTGTTGCTCTCTTAAAGCATCGCTGCAGTTCACTGGTCAGAACCTTGCATGTCTCCAGGCTGACCGGCTGATCTGGAAGAGGAGCAGCAACAGGTTAGCTCACTTCAACCTTCACTGTATGGCAGGGTTGTCAACATCCAGTCCTGGAGGGCCACTGGGTGTCCTGAAACTTTTAGATGTGCCTCTGCTGCACCACCTAATAGAATAATTAGGTCATTAGCAAGACTCTGGAGACCTGATCTACACAAGGAGGAGGTAATTAAGCCATTTCATTCATGTGTTTTGTACCTGTGGCACATCAAAAAACTGCAGGACAGTGTCCCTCCAGGACTGGAGTTTGACACCCCTGCTGTATGGACAGACAAACACACAGCAACAAACACACAGCAACTACAGTCAGGGGAAAAAAATCATGTCCAATCTTATTTTAGGGCGAAAATGCATTCAATGCGTCAGTTATTAACCAAGTGGAGAGCGACCACATAGCAATGGAAACGGCTCATAACTTCATCTTGCGGTAATTAAATGGTCTAATAAAGTCAACAATATTGACTGTGAACACCTACATTGAGCAATCTTCTTTTTCGATGGTAGGGCAAATGCTGCAGTTACTGGATGTGCTCAATACTCCAGATATTACGGTAAATATCTGAGGTCTAAACAGGACATTCATGCCAGAAAACACACAAGCTGTGATAGGGTGTCCTAATTTTTTCACATGACTGCATGTTGTACACAGAAATACACTCATACAAGTGGAGGGAGGCAGCAGAGAAGAAAGGAATAAAAGGGAAGCAGCTAAAAGGCCAACAGGAGACACATCTCACCCGTTGCAGAGGGAGAGGAGGAGGGGCGGAGCCAGAGACATGACAGGATGAAGTGATGAAGAAAAAGAGGATGAGAAGGAAGGCCAAACCTGGATCGTCTATGGCGTCTCCACTGGTACCTGCATGAGTCAGAGTGTCCTCTTGTCGGGGCAGTCCCACAGGACAGACAGACACTAGGGGAGACGGCTCTGAGGAGGCGGAGCCAGCAGGCTTGGAGGAAGGGGACAAGGAGTCCAGGGAGATTTTGTCCGGAAGTGGCCGGCTGCTGCCCGGGACGCGAGCCTGGAGGATCCGGGAAGAAGGGCCTGCGCGGTTCCCATTGCTACCCGGTGACAGCGGCAATGAGGAAGAGGAAGAGGAAGAGGCGACAACAGGCACAATGGCAGCATGTTGGGGCGTGGCCAGAGAGGCGTTGGAGTGCACCACGGCAACGAGAGGCGGGCAGGTTGGCGTCTCTTTAAGCTGAGGCGCTGCTGAGCCGGATGCCACGGCAACATCCTCAGCAGGCTCAGAGATGTGGAGGTTGTCGCCAATGGAGACGGAGCGGGACATCTTAGCCATGGAGCTGGCAGTGGGACTCATGTAGGAGCGAGGCGCTGATGATGTCAGAGAGGGAGAGGAAGACTTCCTCGGCGTGGCCGTGGCATTCTCCTGCATAGCGGAACGGGGGCAGCTGGAGCTGACCTTTAGAGTCCACTGTGCTGTGGACAGCGGCTTCCTAGGGGACGAGGGGAGAGTGGTGGGACGCTGAGGGGGGGCATCTCTGGATGGACCAGAGCTCAGCTGGGAGTCCAGAGAGTCTCCTGATGAAACAAGAGAACAGAGGCTCAGCTGTAGAGGCATAGATCAGGGTGGGCTGATGCTGGTGGGGGTATGAGGGTTACCTGTGCCGACCAGCAGATTGTGGACTGACTGGGACTTCTTGAGCCCAGAGGTCAGGTGGGAAGCAACTGAAGGGACCACCAGGCCTTGCTTCCCTCTGGGTTCGACCGAGCTTTGGACCTTCTCCTTCTGTGACGGAGTCTTGTTGGGGGGATTGGTTATGCTGGTGGTCCCTGCTCCGTCCCCCAGTAGCAGACTCTGACTGTGTGCATGAGGAAGCTGTGATTGGTCCTGGTGAGTCTTTGAGGTCTCCTGCTGGTCCGATGACTCCTGGCTGTCTTGTGTCCGGCTCTGGATCCCGTCTACCAGGGGCCGGACTTCAGAGACCAGGGGCCTGGCTTTCACCTCTCCCACCCCTCCATGGGAGCTCCACATTGGGGGAGGAAAGTCAGTCCGACTGAGGAGCACAGACAGGGGTCAGTATACAGCAATCCTACAGTGTCTTTGTGTGTGTTGCTGGGTTTCCACCGACATTTCAAAAATGAAAAAATGCTTTGCCACTCGCATGAGGTGGATTTTTTGCATCATCAAGATTGCTTTATTTTGCAAAAATCGCAATGGAAACACTTTTTGCATCACACAGTCACATGATCAACAACCTGATGTTGCCATTGGCACAAACCATGAAGAAGAAAACAACACAAAGAAGTTGGAGGATGATGGTGCGGCGGGTTTTTTAACACAGCATGTAATAGCCAAAGCTCCCATAACTTTAGCTTTTGCACTGCGGGGAAGTGGGAGAGTTGTCCCATCAGACCGTCAATCTCCAAAACCACACTCAAAAAAAATCTTTAACCTGTGTGGTTCACTTAGACTGCACTGTCAAAACCATTGAAAAACCCATTCCCCCTCTTGTCTGTGGAGGCGCTGAACCATGGAAGGTAACAACAAACAAGCTTTCTCCTCAAGATGGAAACAAAAATAGAGTAGCATCAGATTTTAGCTGTTAGAAAGATTACTATATGTCTGACTGTCTGTCTTATGAAGTTATACAGATTAAGCAGTGTGAATATTTCAGAGGGTTCTGTAAGTCTCGTGATGATGATCAGAGATGTTTTACCTTCCACAGATGTTCTGGGAGAGGAACCTTGAGGAGATGCTGAGACACTCACTGGAGCTGTGACACGTCCTGTTTGGATCACCTGGTAACACAAACATTGCACACGACCTGCTGAGACCCAGAAGGAACGATTGTTGCGCAACTGTTGAAAGGAACATATTTTGCATTTATTCCAGCACCTTACGCACTGTGGGGAACAGCAGGATGAAGGTCAACAATGGGAAAACAAGAGGTTTCATGGAGGAAATGGACGCTGTGTTCAACAGTTTCTAACATCATATTGGATGTGTTTCCATTACAAACATTGCTAACATTTTGCTAATGTTAAAAAAATACAATTTTGCAATTGCAGTGTTTCCATTAAATAAGAATTCAAAGAATGAAAATCACATGATTTTTATGTGAATAAGTTTGTTTACATAGTAAGTCATTGCAAAACATGCAGTACCATGATACTCCTTCCTACTTCCTGTCGTCTTCTTTGTTATTTGTGCCAGTAGTAACATCTGTTTGTTGATTATGTGAATCATGTGACTCAAAAAAACTGCTTCCATTGCAGTTTTGCAAAGTCTATTTTGATATGGCTGAAAAACCAACTCATCCTAGACCAAAAACCATTAATCAAAAAACATGCGCTTTTTTTCTCGCAATAGGCGCGTTTCCATGAAGTAAATTTATTTTGATAATTCCAATATTTGCAAATTTAAGGTCAATGGAAACGCAGCTAGTGATCAGCCGTGGTTCTAGAGTGTCATGCTGTACCTGAAGCAGAAGCAGACAACTCAGCCAGTGTAACAAAGTGCTCCTTCAGGAAAGCCTCCTGGTCTGGAGTCTGAGGGACTGCTTGAGGCATCTCGTCCTCTCGGCTCTCTTGTCTTTCCTTGTCCTCGTCCTCCTCTATCTCCAGCTCTGAGGAGTTCCCATCCACACTGAGAGGCTCTGTATCTGGTCAGATTAAAGGAAGTAAATAGAATCACAAATGGCTGACAAATGATCTCAGTCAGATATTACAGGATGACGCCTTTCTGTACCGTCTGCAGCTGGTCTCTCCGGACTGGACAAGGCAGAGCTGAATCTGAGTGAGCAGCCGCTGTCCGGACTGGGTTTGTCCTGCCGTCCATGTGGAGCAGAGGGACACGCCTCCTTCACCTGGAAGTCACTGACAGGTTGAATGGATGTGTTTAGAAGCTAATCTGTACTCAGTGCTGGACTTTAGGAAATGCTGTGAATCATTTTGTTGATGATGAAGAATCACTAAAAGCTGGTGTCAAACAATTATTCAACAAAAATCTTTATTTGTCAGTTATCATTTTAAAACAATTCATGAAACTTCCAAAAGCCTATCCAAGGACAACCAGTCCTCTTGATATCTGCTTTGGATCATGGAATGTAGCTCGAAAATGATGATTACATATGTGGCACATGTTTTTCTGCTCTATTTCTAATACTGTAATTTCCAGACTATATGTCACTTTGGAGGATTACTTTCATTAGTCAAAACATGAGAAATGAAGAGGAAAAATAACATAGACAAGTCTGATAGTTTTTGAAGCACAGATGCCAGCGCTCTAAACATGGAAGGTCAGTTACAGCTGTACTCTGCCGGTGAAGTGCAGCAGAGTGTAGCAGAGACGCATGCAGTAAATCGAGAGCAATATAAAGGTGGTTGGGTTCCATGAAGAGGTTGCTGGCTATTTTAGAATATGCTACTGTCTGCCAGATTCTGGTTCAAAAATAAAAGAACCAGTATCCCCCCCAAGTGTAAAAATGTAACAATTGTGGCTCATTGTCTGGACTTTGTTTTCAACCCAAAGAGTGTGAATACTTTAGTGGGGTTTTGTATGAACCATGAAGTGTGTTACCTTCCCACCAGGCTTATTCTATCCTCCCATTTGTCAGGGAAGAGAACCGGATCCTCTCTGTCGAGGCTCTGAAGGGACAGCAGAAAGTACTCTGGCCTCTGATTGCTCTTCACTTCATCATCTTCCTAAATAGATAGAAACACAAAATATCACCTATAAAATACATATAGTCTCACATTTCACTACTAGATTTTATTTTACAGAATGTATAGTGAAAACACCAAAGTAAAGTTATTAGTGACTCAGCAGGACACATTTGGAGGTAATATGGGACACCAGATTGAATCTGGAGTCTGAATGTGGACTTTGTGTCAATCCCAATGTCAGACCATCTAACAACATAAAAATGTTCTATTCAAGGATAACAACCTGAACTGGCTTTGGACTTCCTATATGAGACACACTATAGAAGTTAATCTAGACACAGTGCTGGTATTAGGTTGTATTCTTCACTCTTAAATTGTGCAGGTCATCTGTGGTGAAAAATCCTGGAGGATACAGATTAGTCCTTAAGAGTGGAGACATGGGATAGCTGCTGGCTGCAGAATCTCATCCTCACATCTCTCTGGATTGAGAATACCTCAAAGTTAGCAAGTTAACAAGCCTTGTTTGTTTTCAGTGAGGGAGATGCTGCCCCACATCATCACACTGCCTCCACCAAAAGCTGTTTGGCTGCTGTTCATCATTAAAATCAACATCCTAAAGGTAAAGCATTACTGAATTTGGCTGAAATCAAGAGCTTCTCACCCTCACAGAGGGGACCAGAAGACTAACTGTACTCTGCAGCTCATCATTGTTTCGATGAGTCATCGGCTCCACATCCTGCCTCCTGATCGAGTCGTCTGCGTAGGCCCACGTCCTCTCCTGATTGGACAGGACCAAGTGTAAAAATGTAACAATTGTGGCCCATTGTAGGGACTGAACCAAAAGCATTCAGCCATGTGGTGTGTGCCTTACTTCCTCTTGCTCCTCCTGACCCTCCAGGCAGTATGAGTCCAGCAGCCTCAGGTCTAACATGGATTTCACCATCAGGGCACCGTCGGCGCCCGCTGTCCTCCTTGACCAGCGGCGGCGAGGGAGAGGAGCATCGGACGTCTCCTGATGAGTCACAGCATGTGGTGTTTACAGAGTTTCTAGTCTGCAGTAAGTTGTTGTCGTTACAGGAGAATATGCGATAAAAAAATCAACTGGAAAAATTTGCCAATTTTCAGCAGTCCTGACAACCGACTCAAAAATATTCTATTTATTTTTTAAACTGATTATTCTATAGATTATTCAGATTCTTTCAATCGTATTTAAAAAATTGCTACATTTTGCAGATTTTTCACTTAATCAGCCAAGCCTTTTCTATTAAATATTAGAAATACATTAAACTATACAAACTATACAAATACTTTGCCTGACTTTGCCTCCCATTTAAAATATCCAGAGTCATCATGTTGTTCGTATTTTACGACAAACACTCTCTCATAACTGTTCATTGTAGTGGTACCTCTGATCCTAAGAAATACTTAATGACTGCTCACATCAGGAGGGCTGGCTAATTATCTTGAAAGCAGCGGCTCTTAAAAGGAAATGTGTTGAAGAATGAAACCAGAGATGGAAACATACTGGTTATGTTTAGATGATTTTTTAGATCAGTTTTAGTTGTTTTTAGGCATTTTCTGCATAAAATGGTGCAATATTTGATTTAACTAATCATGGGATATTAGACAAAAAAAAAATCACTTACATTTGTGATCTCTCTGCTGTGCATCTCATCAGACACTTCTAAAGAGAAAAATACATGAATGCAAAAACATTAGATTTCTTGGTTAAAGGTTTTGTTGATAACAAGTCTAACATGAAGATAAGAGCAGGGTCTGACCTGCAGCCTCTTCCGGGCTGTCTGTGGTGATCCCTCCCTCTTCCTCCTCTGTGTCGCTATCAGAGGACAGGTTGACCACACTGGGACTGGGCGTGGCCCCGCTGCTCAGACAGACAACACACAGCAACACGTCAGCACACGGCAACATGTTCAACGCATGTAAATCAAATCTTAATTGTAACGACGACTTTCTTTAAATAAAGTTTCTGTTGAATGCAAACTTGACTGAATGTTCTTTACTTTGTTGGTTCTCATCAGGCTGATCTAATCCAGAACCAAACATGGAGGAGGAGCATTCAGCTTCTATGCAACACAAATCTGGAACAAACTTTAGAAAACTACAGAACAGCTGAAACACTGAGCTCCTTTAAACCCAAACTAAAAACCCATCTGCTTAGAGCTGCTTTTGAACAATAATAAATGCAATATTAATTAACATACTCCATTTTGATTTTGATGATGGCATTCATCAAAATGCAACATCTGTTACTTCTTTCTCAATTGTTGATTGCCTATTGTTTTTCTGACTTCTTATTCTTGTGTTTTTATGATGTGATCTGCTCTGTTGCTGAAATGTGCGACACAAATAAATCTGACTGACTGAGCTCAAAGACGATCTTGTCTTACCTGGGCTTTACAGCATTCTGTTCAGATGCACTGAGGGAGTTAGGATCGGTGCTGGGAGGTCGAAGGTCAGCGAGCCGCTGCCTCATCCTGATGGTCAACTCCGGGTTTAGACGCCACACGAAGATACAGCTGCATTAACAGACACACATGGATCAGTGCAGGTGATGATGGCAAACGTAAAGGACCAGACACCTCAGCGAGCTCTAGATTTCATTTAGGGGCATCAGGGGAATAAATAGACACATAGGTCATACTTTTAAGATTTTTATATGTGGAAAAAGTTTTGAACACTCTGCGACATTTTTCTTCCCTCTTCAGAGTTCTGCACTCTTTGCATTGATCTGTGCTAAAATTGAAGTTTGTGTTTAAGTGACAAAATATGAAAAATGTTCAGAGCCAGTTCAGACGCCTAAATATTTTTATAGCAATAAATATGAGAGGTACCTGTCTCCTGACACGGTGATCAGGTATCTGCAGTCACTGCTGAACTTAAGCCCTGTTACGATCTCTGAAACACAGACAGGAAGCAAACTCACTATAAGAAAATGCTTTACTCTGATTTCAGGCATGTATTAAAAAAGAAACAACATGGAGGATAACACACACATTCCACTCACCTGAGTGACCAAACATGGTGGCCACACATTCTCCAGAAAAGAAGTCAAAGATGGAGACATTCTTGTCTGAACAGGAAGTAGCGATGTAGAGTCCTGATGGGTCGATCTGTACCTAAGGAAGAAGAAGAAGAGGATGACCGACTGTTCCTTTAAAACATCATCATGGCAACCAGAAGATAATTACCTTAATAACTGTTCCATCCTCGCCCTGAGAACCTTTATACACCCTCTTTTGTTTGGCGCTTCCGATATTAAAGATTCTGCAGAGACGAAGCAGAAAAAAAAAATCATCACATACCTGTTGATGAAGGTCCTGAACACACAGAGATGAGCACAGTATATTTTTGTAAACCAGTAAGAACAAATGTGTTTTCACAGGCCAGGTTGAGGCGCTGCAGAAAATGGTGCAGTATGTATGCCAGACCAATCGGTGGCGCTGTAACACTGCCAGAGAAAACAAAGAAAACACTGATTGGCAGTGTTGGCAGATTGAGCAGGTTTTCCCACATAGTTTTAGGCTTCTTTTTGAACATGATCTGAAAAAACCCAGATTGGTGGAATTTTGGCTTTTTTTCACAACATATGATGGGATTTTAGAAAGTAAAATTCTGTATTAATGCACTAATTTTATGCATTTATTTTGAAATATTTAGGATCTGTTTAACTATGGCAACAATTAGTAGCTACTGGTTAATCAAGAGTCACTATGGAGCGCTATTGTACAAGTGAAATCCCAGTGCAAATTCAATAAAACAAAAACAAAGTCTTGTTTTCTTTTCCGTCCCAGTAAATCGTTTTTTGTTTTTTTTGCAAATGACAGTGTGTGACAAACAAACTAAAGAATGTTTCTTATTTGTAGGTTTTCCCTCATCATGTCTGCCCTGTGGAGAGTGAAACATCAGCAAGTGCGTCACAATTTTAAGCCCTGATGTCAAAAGATAGCAGCGTAGGGATCTACCTGATTTTGCGGTCCTGACAGCCCACTGCTGCGTACTTCCTGGTTGGTTCCACGTCCATGTCGTACAGAGTGGTCTTCCTAACAACGTGATGCGTCCGAATGAACTCCAAACCCTCTCCCATCTGAGAAAGAAAGAAGAGATGAACGCTTTTATTTTGGAACGTTAACAGTTTTTCTTCTCTGGTTTTTATTTTCCAACATCATCCAGTGATTCTTTACTGGTAAGTAATCTGGCCCCTACCTGCTGAGCTGTGCGAAAGTAGACGCTCTTATCAGCTCCACAGCTGATCATCCACACCTTCCCCTCGTTGGCTGGTGGGATGATGAAGAGGAGAAGTTAAAATCCACAGCAGGGATTTCAGGCAGACAGGCCAAGGTCAGGTTCTAACAGTATGATCCGCTTTAGAGCAAATTCTAGAGCTTCAGCTTTCGATCCTTCCCTTTTATAATTAATTTATATCAGATTCTTTTACAGCAAATAGAAACTCAACAAGGACACAAATGAACAAAGGTGGAAAGACTGAAACAAGAGAGGATGAAAAGAAAGGCAAAATCTAACTGACCTGATTTTACGACATATGGGAAAGTATGTCCTAAAATCAGGTAAAATCACACAAAAGTGCATAAGGTAGGAAGCAGCCATTATAACGAAAGAATGGAGGGAGGACACTAAAGGGAAAGACAGAAAGAGGACAGAGGAAAGAAATAAATGAATAGGCAAATTAAGAAAGAAAAACAAAGAAAGCAGTGAAGAAATAAATAAAGAAAGAAACAGTAAGAAAAAAAGACAGGAACAAGGAAACAAAGAAAAAAAAATGACTCATCTTTTTTCCCACAATTATTCAGATCTGGAAAACAACAAATTCAAGGTTTTTCTAGACTCTATAGCAGTGGTTCTTAACCTGGGTTCGATCGAATCCCAGGTTAAGAACCACTGCTCTATAGGAACCTCGTTATGGTGAAGAATATGACTCTTTTTCTGTTCTACTCTCTTAGGGTAGGGGGTTAGGGTTAGATTAACGACTATCGGCTGTGAAGCGAGCTGCAACTAAAGATTCATTTTTTTTGTTCCTTAACATCTGAAAATCTTTCCATCCAGGTGAACTGCTCTATGTTCTGCATAAGAAAGGTGAAGCAGCCTTCTGAAAGCCAGCTGAATGGCAGTGCATAGCAGAACATGCCTGGAAACCAGAGTTTCCAGCAACTGACCAGCAAATCTGACGGCAGTGATGGAGGACGAGTGTTCATCCAGAGTCTGTACCAGGCTGTACTCTCTGGCTGCATCCAGGACATGGATCAGACGGTCCCGACTGGCAGTGGCTAACAGCTGGAGCCCTGACACACACATAAACATGCACACACAAGATGATTCCTTTTTTACGTGTGTCAACAAACACATCTTATTTTTGATTTCCCATTTTTCTGTGGGAATGATTTTAGTACCGAGAACTTAGTGTTGAGATTCTTTAATGTTAATTCAAGGTTATCAAATTACATGTCTGCCGTTGTTTTATCGAGTTCACATTTCTGATTCTTTGGATCATTAACCATTGTCCTGTATTCAAATATTGAAAAACTTCCATACTGAATACCTGCATCAGGCTGACACACATCTGCTAATGCAGCAACAATGGAGCAAAGCTGCAGCTCTGACTTCGCAGTCATTATGTTCAGGAGCTGCAGGAGCTCAATATGATATTTGCAAATCAGCTTGAAAATCAATTGACATTTTGGTTCCACTTCAAAATGAAGCACTACTTTGTGTTGATGTAACATATAAACTAAATCAAACACACCCTGGAGGTGGCTGTATGTGATTAAACGTTGAAAAGATTTCATCATGGTGTGTGACTTCTGACTCTCACCAGTGTCTGGTTTAGAGAACTCCAGGCAGAGAATCTCTGAGTCGTGAGCTTGAACATTCAAGATCTCCTCCATGTTTTCCAGATCGTGGATCCTAGGAAACACACAGACACATACATATTGATGTATGTGTCCAGACTCACACATACATCAATCCAGACAAATACAAAGCCATAAAAGCTTGGGAGATCTTTTACTATATGCTTACCTGAGGACTCCCATGCGATCTCCAGAGGCCAGGTGTTTTCCACTCGGACTGACTCTCAGAGTCCTAATGCCCACTCGGTTCTGGTCCATTTGCTGTCCCTCTGACATTGATGACTTCTCTGAGTTGGCACCGGCTATCGTGAGGCTGTCCATGTCCAGGAGGCTGCTCATATTGTTGTCCACGTAAAGGACCTTCTGCAGGTCCTGATGGGGGAAGAAGGCAGAAGTTCAACTGTGCTTCAGAGGAGTGGTTGTACAGGGGCGTGTGTGTGTGCTGACGTACGTTGCTCAGGATGTTCCTGTGGAGGACATTGTGTCTGTTGGTGTTCCACAGTCGGATGGTGTTATCAGAGGAGCAGGATAAGAAGGAGCCGGGGGGGAGCTGCGCCTCACCTGCTCCTCCTTCCTCTGTGCAAACCTGCAGGAGTCAGAGAGGCAGGATGGGTTACACCTGACTGATCACATGAGGCTCCTCAAGGCTCTATTCTATTCTTGCAAATCAGCTTGAAAACCAATTAACATTTTGGTTCCACTTTAAAATGAAGCACTACTTTGTGTTGAGGTAACATATAAACTAAATCAAACGTGTTCAATATCCACATGAATTTTCTAGCTCAACCTATGAAGCGCAACAAAATATTCCAACATACATATGCCGATGACACAACTTTATAATCTTGTCACATCTAGAAATGCACTGACCCAATATTACCATCTGTATCGATGCAGATGTTGAAAAAAGTTCTAGATTGGGTATCATGACAATGTTCCCAGCCTGCAAGGGCAGGTCTATTCAATCTAATTCTAATTATTGTACTGGGTTCACACTCTATTTTGGAATGGAGTGTGAACTAATTACAAACTAGTTACAAATTTAACTCTTTACATGAGTCAAATGTTTGACTCGTGTTCCCTGAGTCTATCTGTTGGCCTTCTCTCCCAGCTGTGCCCCGTTTGTAATCAACCATCTGTGTCTTGTCAGTAATCAAGCTCTCCAGTGTTTCAGCTCCTCATTTGTTGCTGGACTCTTCAGTTGCTTCCTGTTCTTTTCCTGCTCACTCATTGTTTCAATTCCTTCATGCCGTATTATAGTGTTATAATACGGCATAAGTTACAAAGTATAAGTTAATTCCCAGAATCATGACTAAAAGTCACAATGAAAAGACACAGCTGTTTCCACCTTATTATTATGACTCATATTGGAGCAGAACAGAACACGGACCTCCAGGCCCCACACACAGGATGAGTGGTAGAGGGCCGAGTAGAGCTTCCCTGCCCTGCGGAGCTCCTGGACGTCCCATACATAAAGACTGTGATCGTTGTAGACGCAGGATAGCCAGCGATTGGTGGGGTCGAAGGTCACAGCTACGGTGTCTGGGTAATGAGATTCTTCTCCAGAGGAGAAGAGCTGACTAAAAAAGAGGAGATTGAGAAGAACAGAAGTAAATAGGACGATGTCCAGTGATCAGCTGACCTCAGAATGACCTGTATGAATGAGACCTAAAGCAGACTGTAAGTCTGATTATAAAGCCAAACTAAAGAAAGAAAAAAAGCTTAACATAATTTCTTCATTTACAACCAACAGTTTTACGTATTTTTTTTGTTGTGTTGCCTTCATTGCTTTTGGCAAACTGCAGATGGAACTTTTCATGTTTTAGTTCAGATGGATTGATCAGAGCTCTGGGATGTTGTTGAAGATCATAGCTCAACTTTATAAACTTCTCCAAAACTTGACTGGCTGCTCGTTCTTTGGTCTCCTTGACGTTGATGTTCTCTGATGTTCTCACAAACCAATGAGACTTTCTATTATTCAGTTACTAAAACCAGCCGACGATTATTTCAATAATTAATTAATGGCTCCAGCTTTAGGTGGGTTTACCTGGCTTCCACTACACAGGCGATGTCAGCGCCCAGGCAGTGGGGGCGCGGCAGAGAGCAGAGGAAGTGCAGGTTGACGGGACTGAAGACTCGCACCGTCCCGTCAGAACAACCGCAGAAGATAAACTCCTCGGTGACGGACAGACAGGTGGCCTGAGACGACTAGAGATACAGACAGAGAGACATGTTCAAAAACTTGGAGATGGAAATATGTTCCATAAAACAGCTTAGTTTACTACATGACCGCAGGGAAAAAAGCCAACAACTCTAGAACAGTTGATAAAAGAGGATGTAGCCGGCGGGCAATGCTGAACCAAAGGAGCTCGGTAATCAGAGTGGGTTTATTCATCAGTCGGCTTAGTTCAGTTGGTGAGCCAGTCATGAATGCATGCTTTGATATGAGGAATGAGGGTGAAAGGAAGAAAGTGGGTCTTTTGATATCTTCCGCCCCGTTAGTCTTCGGAGACAAACAATGAACTTTCTTGTGATGATCTGGGCAGTTTGTCTGGGCGAGCGCTGGATCGCATCAAAATGAGTGAACGGTGACGCTGGCAGCTGTGAAGAGGATTCTCTGTGGAGCATCTCATGATGGAGTATGAGGTTGTGGATTAAAAAAAAAAGAAGAAAGTATTCAGAAAATGTTGGAGTGAGAAATGACACAGCCTGAGGGAAGTGATTCCAGGTGAGACAGGACTTACACAAGCAGAGTCGATTCTCTGCACAGGAAGCAAAGGGGAAAGCAGAGGAAGTTCACTTTAGAGCAAAATTCACATCACATTAGTGACACACACACACACACACATACACACACTGCTGTAAGCCAATGACATGCCAGGACAAGGTCTGTGCTGCTGCAGCAGGATAAACTTGATGGATCGGCTTAGGAGACGAAGGTTGATTTTGTGTGAAACATTAAAAAAGTTTTTACACCTCTTAAATGCGTTTGTTGATCAACCGATACAGGTTTTTAAAACTTTTGTCTGCAGCTCCTCCAAAGTCACCATGAGGCTGACTGATGCTATTCTTGTCTTTCACTTAGGTTAGATGGACGTCCGTGTCTTGAAATGTTTCCATGTCCAGATGATGGATTGTACAGAGCACTATGATGTTCAAAACTCCGGATGTTGTTCTAGAAATTAACTCTGTTGACGTTTAGTGTTTTTGCAGTGCAACTGGCATTTTTGTATTGACAACACATCTCTTTTCAGCCAAAAGATGGAAAATAAGAAATTATGAACAGAAAAACAACCCAAATACTGCTGATGTGCATCTGCAGAGAATAACAGGAATGTAATTTTTGAAATCCTTAAGATTCCTTAAACATCCTTGGACTCACCCGCAGGTCCACCCACTTGTCAAGCAGCCTTCGGTCATTAAACTCACACAGAAGACCTGATGAAGTGATGCAGAAGGTGGAGGAGGACTGTCGCCCGCGGCCACATGCCACGTCACTGAAAAAGTTATTCCGTAGTTCTCCGAGCAGCCCTGAACGCCCCAGCAGGGGAACAGTGGCGTTCACCTGCAGACAGACAAACAATGGCTACAGTCTGCTACGGTTCCACTCTCAGCTGGTCATAACAACATTAGTGTTCACACTGAACCTTGGAGGTCTTGGTGTCGTCCAGGTACCAGAACTTAACGTGCCGGTTTCCAGCAGTAACAAAGTAGGAGCTGTCGTATGAGAAGGAGACGGCCGTCACTTTGCTGGAGACCTTATTGGCTGCCACCACCACGTTTTTCTGACAAACACACAAGAAAACATGTTCACAACTGGGACAAGTGAACGGTTTCCCCCAGTGCCAGCCCACTGGATGCAGGCGTACCTTCCAGTTCCACACGTTGACCATCATGTCGTGCTGGTACCCCACGCTGACTATGTATTTCCCATTGGGAGAAAACGCCACGCAGGACACTCCGTATTTATGTTCCTGCAGCTCTGCGACCTGAGCGTGCTCCGACACCTCCCAGACCCGAACCGCTGGCATGTGACCGCTCTGAGAAAGACAGAGCGGGAAAAACATAAACATGAGAATCATCTTCAGGAAAACTCAACCCTGCGTTCTCTGATGTTTTTATGTGGAAGACGGCAAACACTCACCTCTCCCGTTACGACATATTTCCCATCCGGAGAAAATGCCAATGTAGTAATTGCCTTTCTGCCACACACACACACACACACACACACACACACACACACACACACACACACACACACACACACACACACACACACACACACACACACACACACACACACACACACACACACACACACATGATTGTGATACGAGTCTGATCTTTGAAGTATAGCAACAAGGTCATTCAAAGTGCTTTATGTAAGTTAGACAAAATAACAAAAGAAAAGTAAAAGAAAAACAAAAAGTATTCCATAATTTATAAAGTAATTGGAGTTAAACTAATAGAAAAGAAAAACAGCTTCTCTAGATTCTAAGTTTGTTCAAATTCCTGCACTGGGTTGAGTGAAGTATAAAACTAAATGTTTCTGTTCTGGGTTGCTAAGCAAAATAAAATTAGGTACACCAGGAGTTTCTCTGTATAAATGTTCATAGACGGTTAGATGTGTTAGCTTGGGCTGCAGAGGTAGAGGTCAGAGGTCATTTTACCTGGAACTGTTCAAGATGTGCTGCTGTTTGTTCTTGCGAGGATTCAGCAGGATGATGACACACCTGGAGAAACACAGGATTAAATAGAGTTCAAAGGCTGAGCGAGACAAGCAGAAAGAGGCGAGTGAGAGAGAAAAATGAAAACAAGCTGGCAGGCAAAGGAAGCAGCAGAACAAACAGTACAACACAAGGCTGCAGGTAAAAAAAAACAAGTCCTATTTTAATAGATTTTTTTTAGCACTGACTGTGGCTGCTCATTAGGATGTTTAATTTAAACCTGATAGACCAGTTTTATGTCGCAAGATCATGAATCAAAAAGCTGAAAGTATATGAATCGTACCATGAGGTCATAGGAAAAGGATTCTTTCCCATTTCTGCTGGCTAAGAAGGCAGATTATGGCTTTATCAAGAGAAACGGCTACTGTGAAATATTTTCTGGGAGTGTTGATGGAGAAGTTGAAGAAGGTCAGAGGGAGGGGCTTTAGGGATGAGTACAGGTTAGAGGGGAACAGAGGTCCTGTATGATGTAGCAGGCAGGTCTGTGGGGTGGCACCCAATAAAAAAACATTTATTTTCAAAAATTGCCATAAGTTAAAGTCGTTGTGGGACAGTGTGGATGAGAGTAAACAAATAAAGATTATATATTCTAAACTAGCAATCTAATGATTTATAAAATCCAATCACAGCACTGGTAAGCAGCGCAAATACGTTTCAGTACAAGCATTGAATTATGCAAATCAAGTTTAAACTACACGCATGTCACTAACTGTGTTTCCATTCACCATGACATTGTGCAATAAGGAATTATGAAAATACATTTGCTTAATGGAAACATGCCAATTTTGGCCCCTGTGAATTTTGGGAAGAGACTTCAGTAGATTTGGCTTCTTTCAAATTGATGCCTTCAAATCCAGTTAGATTATTTGTGGAGCTTGTAGGTCACGTCCTTTCAGGCTATCCCACAAGGCCCTAATATAAAAAGGTTGACAGACAAGATGATTCCACTCTTTGTGGAATGTATGAAAAGTTTCCAGCTGTTTTGATAACTGATTTTCTGAAGTCATAATGTTATGCCTGTAGAATAAGCCTGACTTTGCATTACTTCCATTTCATTGCTCAACCACAACTCTCTAGACACACACTGAGCTTAATTATGACCTGGTGTTGGGAATCAGGGCTGGGCTTCTCTTCTCTTCCCTTTCAAAGCTAGTAAGGAGTTTTCTAAGCAGCCTGGCTCCTGGCTGAACATGTCTGAATCAAGTTAGAGTGAATTAAATCTGCTGCAGCTTATGCTCCAATTCCCACAGGCTCAATGTTGTGGTACAAAAAGTTATACAAACCATTTTTCCAACAAGTACTATGCTGGCAAGATTCACTGCTCCTTATGGGGCTCAGGCTTTGGGCAGCCTAAGGAAAACTGCTGTTTTTAGATTAGATTTTGGGTTAAGGTGGGAACTTAGTTGAAATTGCAGATTAGGTAATTGTAACTATTACCTAATCGTAATGGTTACGATTGGGATAATGTTTAGGCTATGAAATGAATGAAAAATGAGTGGAAGTCAATTCAAAGTCCTTGTGAAAATAGAAAGACCTATTTTTATTCTGACCTTGGAAAGCCTCATGGTCTTCCGAGGTGAGAAATGCTAAAACACACACACAGAAACCTAGTGAGAGTCAGCGGGGTGTGTGAAGCTGAGTTATGCTGAGTCTGACTGGAGGTGTGAAAGCTGCAACATCAGCAGCATTATATTCACCTTTCTTTCACACTGTTTCTATAAACCAACATTCCTCACTGCAATTATTTTCTTCAGTCTCATGTAATCTGACGGTGGGTTTCACCACCAGGTGTCTTTATAGTGCTCTGTGTAAGACTGGTGCTTGTTTTTAACACAGTTGACTGTTTTTTTTTTTGTTTGTTTTTATTTCAATTCAAACTTGGTACTAAGTGTAAAAGTTGTGTTGTGTGTATTTATGAAGGGTTGGGGTGTTATTGGGGTGAGGCTGGAGAAGCAACTCATCATGGGGGAGAAGTGAGGGAAATAGAGAGGTGAGAGGGTTTTGGTTTGTTTTATGTAAAAAGCTTTCATCTTTTTGGCCAAAGGTTCATCAAATGTTTTATTTTTTATTATTATTATTATTGTGAGCTATGCTGGGACAAACAAAATCTCCCCTTTTGGGATCAATACAGTATGATCTATCTAACTTTTCTAAAAACTAAAGGCTCCATCTGGAGAAAATGTTTATTTTTGTCAAATTAGACTCAGTTTATCTGTCTACTTAACATGCAGGCTTTAAAAATAATACATATTTTTGATGGTATCAATAGTATAAACCAATATTCTTTAGATACTCATCTCACTAAATGGATACAAATTGAGGCCACCTTAAAGCACTAATCATAAACATTAGTCCTGCTAACACTGACGCACTACACTAACACGGTATTTAGCAGAAGCTAAGGCTAAATTGCTAACTTCAAATCAGATTGTGTCTGCCTGTGAAAGACTGTAGCCCTCAACTAATAGTTTCATTTTGACATTATAATGTACATGTTCTGTAATTCCCTGGATGTTGTATTCATGTTTATATCTTGTTAATTATGTTCATATTTTATTTTATTGGGGAAATAAAGAAGAGGACATAAAACTGCTGCGTAAACAGCCTTCACCCACTTCTAAATAAAAGCATGAATATAAATGTCAAACGCAATGACAAACAGTCAGAAACCAAAACTGCAACACAGATGCTGAAGTTTATTCAATTGAAAGTTTACAAAATTAATTTATGGTGCGCTACATGTTTTTAAAGTTAGTTTCAAAAGCGCTGAATGAAAAACAGTTCTCTTCAACTTAAATTCTGAGCGAATAGGAAGAATATTTCCCTGCACAAATTTGCCCTGGATTTTGTCACCTTGTACACCAAAAGATATTAAAGTAATAGACATAAAAGTGGAAATAAACTACATCCACAAAGCTAAACTACAGCTCTGGGTCTGATTAAGTTAGAACTGCAGCTCAGGTCAAACTTTCTGGGTTCTAAGAGAAAGTCTGTATTTGCTGACGGACTGAAAAAGGTTCCAGCTGAGTGTCCTGACAGCAGTTTGTGTGTCTGCTGTATGAAACCATGCAGAGCTGAAGTATTAAAGGACTTTATCACGTGATGAGGAAGATCCAGTCAGCATTTTCCTTGCCTGACTGTGAACTGGACGGTCCTGCAGCACATCTGCAATGCAGCAGAGGGTTAGGGCTGCAGGAGGAGGGGTCTCTGCTCTGTTAGCTCCCAGTGTTACTCCTGTATGCAACTGGACCCATGGTACAACACAGCTGCAGCTGATTCAGTCTCTAGCTGAATCAGCTGCAAAGGGAATTGTTATCACATTCCCTTTGCAGATGAGCAAAAAAAAAACAACAGGTTTAAAAACAGTTTGATGTATTTTATAGACAGATTGCTAAAGCTGATGTCTGTAACCACAACCAAATTGCTCACAGCCCAGGATGTAGGCAGAAGTGACATAATAAAATCAGACAAGACTGTGCAGCATGTCTGCAGAATCAAACCGATGAGGAAAAGCCCAGGCTCATTAAATCCTTCTACTCTGCTTAAAACATAACATTTACAGTGTTGCATGAATGTCTCTTTATTTTTACCCAGAATGACCTAGATTCACCCTCTTTGGACCCCCACACCGTTCCACTAACCCACTCTCTAGTCTTTACTTCAGCGTCTCTTGGTAAACTGAAGTCTTTGCTGTCGAGCTGATATGGAACCTAAACACATACCGACCAATCATAATCTCCATAGCCTCCCATACCTGCAGCTGATTGGAGAATTCGGTTTTGCAGTCTTTAGAGCACTTAACATGGCTGATCTGTGGATACCAGCAATCTTCTAAAAAAAACTATATTTATGCTCTTATTTTGAAGGGGCTTGAGTTCAGTTTCCTCTCCTCAGGTTTTCTTTGCCCTATAACTTTATCTTGAACAAGAAACACCCATGAACAAAATAAAATACAGAGAGTGGAGAAGAAGATATAAACATAAATACAATACCTAACAGCATTATTGAGCATATAAATTATGATATTCTGAAAATGTAGCTTTCTGAAATACTGTGTTGCTGTACTGCTTTAGAATTAGTGGAATTATTGTTTTTGATTCTATGCTGGATTACAAACTGGGTTTCTGGGTTTTGAATTCCACACCAGTGTTTTATGATACAGAGAATTTCTAAAATTCAAGATCTCTAACAAAAGAGTGAAATGTTATAATTCTCGTAGTTGTGATTTTTTTTTAACAGATACTGGAGCATCATACTGGATTTCTCGATATTAGTGACTCAGAGTGTCAACTCTGTAACTCATAGTGCTAAGAAAAAAGTGACATTTTAAATTTATTTAGAAAGTATTTAAAAAATCTTTAATTTTTACATATAGTTATTAAAAAGAAATCAGTAATGAAATCAATCTTTTATTGGCAGATGAGAGATCAAAGTATCATAAAACTATTTTAAAAATGTGAAAATAATGTACATTCCCAATCTTTTTAATATGGTTTGGTTTATTTCAACATCTTAATGTTGCTGGGATTGCTGACATCACATTCCAGCAACCTTTACCATCATCACACAGGCCCCGCCCACATCCCATCCACACATTGTGAATCACTCACCCAGCAGGATACGCCAGCAGTCCAGTACGCGGGTCACAGGCCAGCGCCCGATTTCCTGGAGATGTGATCCCAAGAACCTTCTCCAACGTCACCTGCAGTGCAAAGGTCAGATGTTTTTTTGATGCAGCTTCATAAGATATTTATTATCCAGTTAGTCTCAACTCCAACAGAGATGGACTTCAGCTAGAACTTCTCCTGGTCAGTAAAAGTGCCAAACTCATCTCTTTAGATTGAGACTGATCCTCTGAGAATGAGAGACATACCTTCTCATCTCTCCCTAGTCCTCCAAACAACAACGACCAACTTTGCACTAGAGATAAAAACGTCAATTCCTCAAGTACTTTGGAATAGGAAAAACAATACATTTTTATAAATTTGCCCACCAAAACAACAACAGAACTTTGGAAAAGGTCTGCTTTTCCACAGCAGTCATTACATCACTCTTTGAGAAAAGGTTTGATCCTCCCTCTCTTCTATTCTGGATTTCTGTGGTAGAGGATCACATTGCTGTACAAACAATGTTCACCATTATTTACAGCAGATCCCACAGGTTATACATTTCCTTTAAAGCAGAACCTATAGACACATGTTGGTGACCTCTGACCCACCAATCAATCCACAAAGCAACTGGCAGCGCTGAGACAAGTCAGAGGAAAATGGGAGACAGCGGAACATGTTATTCTAGTAGGAGGTAAAATAATTCATATTATCAATGAACTTGTCATTTTTCTGTTTTTTGATACAATTGACTGTGTTTGAAACATTTTGTTTGAATAAAGGGAACCACAAACTGACAGACAGACGGAAGAAGGGACATATGGATGGATGGCTCCCTGTCTGACTGTGGATGAAATCATCCTGTGACTTGATTTAGCCTGTGAGGTGATCTAGCCAAGTTTATATCAGTCTGAACGTCATAAATCCAGATCTTTAGAGCTCCAAGTAGAGATGCAACAGTTTCCTTACGCAACAAACTCCTGTCCATTTTGTCTCCAAGACAAACTCGTCTTCACTATAAGAGTCCATGCTGAGGGAATACAGTAACTGACTTTGATCAAACAAACACTTACTTCATGCTCCATGCTCCTTTTAAGTGTCCTGATGTGATCTGGCCAAAACGTTAGGAAGATGCTCAGCTCATCAGTCGTTCAAAATGTTTATCGGCCTGAACTTAAAGCTGTTTGTTGCGAAGCTCAGTGCTAAGCTAACAGCAGAAAACCTCAGCTCTGACTCAGTCTGTCCTCCTCTCACATGACTCTTCTCCTTCTGCATCAAACTCTATTTATACTTTTACCCATTCTGCTCTGACTTCAGTGTGAGAAGAGAGCCCCATCAGACTGAAAAAGGCCATCTGTTTGATTCAGCAGCTGCCACTTACTCTGTTTGACATGTCCATGTTGGCTATTGATGGTGGTCAGGCAACATAAATCAAAACCAGAAATCATAGACAGTTCTTTTTAAATATAAAGTTGCAGTGTCCAACAAGTGAGTAAACTACTGGACATAATAAGGGGAGTACAGCTTCTACCCGGCCTGTCTGTTCTTGACAGCTGCAGGACACACTCATTGAGCCAATGACAATAGACATAATGTAGCAAGTCACAGTGAGCGAGCTACAGGGACATGAAAACGCCAAAAGGTGCAGATTTGGTTGATGATCAGAGTGAGTTTGATAGTGCCTGACCAGTGACTGCTTTGAAACTCAAAAACTGTGCTGAGGCAAGCAGTGAGCAGAGGTCACCAACGTTCTGCAGTCAGTATCTACAGATCTTCAAAATTTATGTAACCGTCAGATTAGCTGAAGAATTGTACAAAAAGAGCTTCAGGTAATAAGTGTCCACAGCCAACAGCAAATGCTCTCACACAAATGGCACATCTTGGTGAACTCCAAGTGTAAAGAAATAATGACTGCTTACGAGACTCCAATCTGCTCTCATAACATTCAAGGTGCAATGTGTAACTTTTTTTTAAACAAAATGTTCTTTATATATATATATTTTAAAACTGTCTTCATGTCATGACAGTATGAGACATAATCTGTGAAAAGATCAACCTCTTTCACCTTCTCCCTGAGCTGCTATCTGAACACCTCTCCCAACCACAAACAACCAATCAAAGCCAGGAGGCGGATCTTAGCGCTGTCAATCAATCTTATGTCCTCACTGCCAAATGGGCTAATGACGGACAGGCAACTTACCTTTCCAGGAAAGACGTTTATCCGTCGTCATTGATGGACATACTAACTAACCTTGCATTCATGACAGGCTCTGCTAGCTCTAGCAGAGAGCATGGGGGACAAAGAGGACAGACAGTGTCACAGGGAGGGCTGATTGACAGCGTTAAGACCTTCTTCCTGGTTCTGAATGGTTGTTTCTAGTTTGTTTCTAGTTTCTAGTTGTTTCTCGGCGCATGGGAGAAGGATAGAGGAGCTCAATTTTTACACATATTAACTGTCTCATATCATTCTGTCACATGACATCTGACAGTTGAAAAGAAAATTATTTTTATTAAAAATGGCACACTGCAGCTTTAATTTAAATAGACATATATCCTTCTCTTACGCTTTACACCAGCATCCCAGTCAGGCTCACTAGTGTAGATGACAGACCTCCTGCAGGTAAGCAGGCTGGAGTCTCTATCAGCTGACCAGCTGCTTTCTATGCTAGCTGGCTATTTGGCAGCTTGCAGGCTGCACATGGTTGATGTAGGCTCTTTTCCTATTGGTTCTACTCTGATATCTGGTAAGGCTTTGTGGCTCCTGTGTGTGAGGGGAAAGATAATCTGATGAGTTTTAGTGAGCTGTATCCATTCATTTGAATGCTTTGACCCAGTTTAACATTTGGTTCATAAATACTTGTATTTCATATGTACTTATATCCAACTATCCTGTATAAACAATTGAAGAACGTTACAGACTGTCAACAATTTGTTAAGCATGCGCTGGAACTAATAGCTGCATTTGTCAGTCATTTGCTTAGATAACAGAAACTGGAAGTGGTGAGTTTGGGTGTAACTCTGTTGAGTCTGAATAGAAATGTCAGTAGGCTATGTGGCTGTGTTGTCAATTTACCACAAATAAATAAATGAGCAAGTGCAATACATAGTATTTTTGTAATTTAACAGTGATGCTTTTGGGTGGAGCACAACAAGGCTGCTTTAGCCGCAGTGACCTATGTTGTCTTTGTCCACATGTTGAGATCAGAGGTAGGGGTAACAGTTAGAGGGAGTTCAGGTTGAGAGGATATGCAAAGAGCCAGAATGACCTCATTGTTTGACTAAACACACACAACAGAGGATATCAAGGTTCACTAAAAATATATATATATATATTTCTGTTATGCGCATGTATAAATTCAGATGTACTGACATGCAGTAACAACACATCAGAGGGCAGATGGTAGCACCCCTAGTGAGGTTTTTGTTTTTGTGCCACCTTATGTTGGTCTGTGACATACAATCCAAGTGAAACATATCAAGATTTTGGGTTGTAGTGTGACAAAATGGGACTCAATAAAATTGTTTTAATCGAGTTAATTGCTGTGTCTGAAATTCATTGATCACAATTAATTAATCAAAAGCTATTGACCAACTAAACAAGATTTTGAAATAAAAAGACAATTTTGTTGCTAGATTATTGAATAATTATATAATAATTATTGAGACTTTTCTCAATGCTGTGAGGAACACAGCATATGAGTTTTAGAGGTGCTTCCTAATTTTTTCTGTTGACGCTTCACATCTTTATCCACACTGAACCCAGACTAATGGAAAAAAGTGGCGCTAATTCCACTAAGTTTTCCTGAAGTATTTTGAATAGTGCGAAAACAACAGCAGGGATTCCTCTGTTGCTGAATCACGTTAAGCCACCACTGGTAAAAATCTGTGATTGGAGGCTTTAAAAATGCTGCTTACTGTTTCCGCGTTGTTTATGGGATGTCGCGCTGTTCATAAACAGCTAAACAAGTTTTTCAAGAAAATGTTACCACATGTTAGACATGAATGGAAGAATAAGCAAACTAAATAAAAAAAAACTATTGAATCACTCAGCTGTTAAGTGTTTTCCAATGTAGTAGCAGATATTAGCTCAATGTGGTGATGGACAAATATTTTTTGCCCAGTGTTTTCCTTGGAATAATGTGCCTGATGCTTATGTCAACGTGACAAATGTCAACATGCTGGAACGCTTGAAGGCACGCTGTTGAGACATGCATGACTAACCTATAATCTGTTTAACACAGGAGAGAAAATGTAAACCACACTGTTCCACATTTAAAATGCACACAACCTGCTGCTGGTGTGAAACTACCGTTAGCAGGGCAAATGTCAGAGTTCAAGGCAGGAGACAACAGTAAAAGCCGTTCCTGCCACAGTGCAGGTTTGCAGACAAACGTCTGAACAGAACAAAGGATTTCTGGAATATGTGTCCTTTGCATAAATGAAAACAAAGTTAGGAGATGTCTGGCCATACCACCCAACACAATGTTTAGAGAAAACCAACTACAGCACAGTGTTAGATGGGTCATGATGTGGGCTTGCTGCAGGAACAGGAGATGGACTTCACAGATACTGAGCGGTTTCTACATATTTACACTTTTCATTATTGTTCAGCAGCAGAATGTTTTGGAATATTTTCAACAAAGCAAATAGAAAACACTTTTCAATGTTCTTATTATTTAGCCAAGTGTTGGAAGGAAGAATTATGGACTATTAAGGCTTCAACCATCTCTGGATTTTAGTTATTTCTACCAAGCAAGTTAAAGTGTATTGCACAAAAATGGATTATAGACAAAAGCATTTAATGTGCAAATCCAAAAATCTCAGGGAGGGAAAAATCTAAACTTTCAAATGACTCAAACCAAACTCACATCAAAACCACAAAGAGAGGACCAGAGCTTTAGCAAAACCCCAACAGAAGAGCTTCTCCCCCAGTTGTTTTACTGGAAGCTCCTCCTACAAGACAAACAACCACTATTAATTTAAAACAGACAATATGTACAGGTAAGAACATCTGCCTATTACTACAGCTGTCATTAAATGATGATATTATTAAATTGCTTAGTAGTATATTCTTTTTTTTTTAATGTAGCAGTGA